ACCACAACACCCTCCTTTCAATATCTGTTGAGGAACCCCTCTTCCCTGACATGCCATTGAGGAGCAAGTGTCATCTTCACCCCTCAGATCCCAGAGTGGGACTGACACGGCCCTGGCCAATCAGAACACGTTCTCCTAGCCACAGTGGTCGGTTCACAGCACAAAATGAAAGCCAGGCTCCCAAGGGTTAATCCCAGCATAATATTTCTTGTTATTTGCAGCACATTTCACATTTCTGCATCCGTCTAAGCATGATTCAATTCAATTTTTCAGCAGTTTTGGAAGATCCTGCAGGCGGGAAGACTTGCGCGGACAGCCATGTAATACCACTTGAGCCACCAGGAGGCAAGCAAGAGCAGCTTGAGCCAGAGCCGGTGGGGAAGCCTACCAGGACTGATACCACCCTGGAGAGGGAGTCTGACAGCAGCACAACTTCCCAGGCCAGGGAGCTTGCAACTAGATCCAGTCTCTGGCTATCTGGAGCAGTGATCTCTAAGCTCTCACACACTCCCGAAGTCCTAGCCGTTCCCCAAGCGGACCTCCCCTGAACCTACTGGTGCCCTCGAGCTAACCTCTGGCTGCATAACTCCCTTGGTGCCACCTGCCCCAGGGCTCTGCTGCAGCCTGCGGAGCCTGCCCCTAGGGGACTCTTAGCACAGTGCCCTGATTATTCCTCATCCTGGCTTCCATCATCTCTGACATGTGTCCACGTGGTGAGGAAAAAAGAACAGGCTGGATGTCACTGCATTCCCCTTCTCTCCCCCTCCCCAGCTGGCAGTCACCTGACTGATGTCCTCCAGGGAGCATCCTGGAGGAGGATGGGGGATGACCAACCTCGATCTCCAGGGTCGGGGAGGGGGGCTTGTGATACGAGAGTAACAGTTGATCTCTCCTGATAGCAGTGTCTATTAAAGCACATGGTTGCCATGGTTTTAACCGCTTGGCCTCCCTCTTGTGACCTGTTCCTTCAGTGTTTGTTCTCTGTTACCCTTCCAGAGCCTTCAACAGCCAAAACTCTGTTTCTGGTTCTTGACGCTAGAGGGCACCACGTGGTAGAGTTGGGCTGAGTCTAAGAAGCCGGCATCCCAGGTGAGGAACGCTGGTCTGGGCCTGTGGGCCAGGAGCAGAGCTGGGGCAAGCGTGGGGAGACTCCCAGCTCCCAGCTGCAGGTGTCAGCAAGCCTGGGAGAGCGCCCCTCCCACCCGCCACCGTGCAGGACAGTAACAAGTGGTGCCTGAACAGGGACTTGAAAGAAGAAGAGAAAGTGCAACAGAGACCCCCACAGAAAGTGGACCCCTGGATGCATCTCCTGGAGAATACCTGGCTGCTGTGGCTCCCCTCCGCCCTTTCTCAGCTTTAAGTAGCCAGAATGCGGGAGCATGCCTGTGAATCTGCATTGCTGTGTCCTCTCCCCCTCCTTGTAGAACCACCAGAATTCACTTAAGAGGGTTCCACCCGCATGAGCACACATAATCTCATCACTTCGCTAGAGCCCTGCCTGTAATCTGCTCATCCTGAGTCTCCCCATCAACACTAAGGCATTGGGGATTAAGCTGACTTCTTGTCCAACCCACAGCAGGTGCAGACCCAAGTGAGGAATCCAGGGATGGAGGGCCCTTAGGCAGTGTTGGTTCTGCTGTAGCCCCGCCTGCTGGGAACATCTTCATTCTCACTTACAGTGACATTTTGAGAATGTGGTGGCCACAGGGCAATAGCGCAGGTGCAGAGTGCTTAGGAGCTGGAATAGCTCCCCGTGTGTGTCCTGCACATGGTTCCCAGGAGCCGGGAGAGCTCCGTGTGCGTCCCACACGTGGTTCCCAGGAGCCGGGAGAGCTCCGTGTGCGTCCCACACGTGGTTCTGTATCCCCCATCTCTCAGTCCTTGGCAAAAGCCAGTTTTTTGATGGGGTGAGGGAGGAGGTGGGGAGGAGCTTAAGGATCATATCAAACATGAACCCAATCCCTCCAGGGACCCTCATCCTTACATTCAAAACCCAGCCCCAGTGCACGCCCTGCATTGTTCCTCAAGCTGCTCTCTGCATCCCTTTCAACTCCCTGATCCGGTGAGGAGCTAGCTCAGCTCTGGTCCCTTTCATAGTCCTTATCTGGGTTATGCCACACAAACTCAATCCGTAACCCATGGGCTGGCTCCCAATGCACACCTGCAGCTGGCTGCCTCTGTCAATTATTTTTCTCCTTGATAAATTCGCTCTGGCTGTGAGCTTGTATCCCGTCTCCTCTCCGTTCTACACCCCTTACATAGAAGAGGTCACTTACTTATTTGGCTAACATCCTCTGAGCACCTGCCACATACCAGGCACCAGACTAGGTGTTGGGGACACAGCAGGGATGAAAAAAAGCTTTTGTCCTTGTGACCTCCCCCAAAGGGAGACAGCCAGCAAACTAGAATGTTCCAATAATTGAGATGGTGATAAAGACTACGGGGAAAAAATAATAAAACAGGATAAGACGTTAGGGAGTGGCCACAGAACTGCTATCCGACACGAACGGGTCAGGTGGCATTTAAAATGATGTAATTAATTTCAAAGGCAGAGAGAGAGAGCTCATGACCTCGCATTTGTTGGTTCACTCCCTAGATGCCCGCTACAGCCAAAGGCAGGAGTCTAGAATTCCATCCAGGTCTCCGATGAGGGTGGCAGAGGCCCAGGTCCCTGAGCTCTCCTCACCTGCTGCTTTGGAGTTTGTGCATTCACACAGGGTGGGAAGAAAGGCAGAGACAGGACTCAGACCCAGGCACACAACAGGCCACAACAGACGGTGGGCCATGCAAGTTGTGGGCATTCCTAGTGGCAGCCGACCCCACTCAGTTGAAATTTACTTGAAGGAAGTAAGGGGACAGGCCATCTTTGGGTGGATCGTTGTGATGCAAATAAGCCTGCTGGATAGACCAGAAAAGAACCGAGAAGATAAGCACGGCCAGAGCAAGGAGAGCCAGGGAGGGGGCAGAGAAGGGGGCTGTGGCAGTGTCCAGGTGACTGACGGCTTTCCATCGCCGCACGGCTTGCAGGAGCAGTGAGCCTCAGATGGGAGATGTGTTCCAGGCTAGAGGCGGCCTCTCTTCTAGTGGGCACTGCTTGCTCTGGCTCTATCCTGAGCCACACCCTGTCCCACTGCCAACGGAGGGACCTTGGCCTCTCCTAGCTGCGGTCTTTTATCTAGGAAATAATTCCAAGGTTTTAGCCAGCTGACCCAACTGGGCTAAGCTTTTGCGTAGGTAGGGAGAAGGGAGAGGAAGGAAGAGAGAGGGAACAGAGTCAGGCCAGAGCCTGGAGTGTTCACTGAGGCATTTATTATCTCAGAAAAGATTACATCCTATCCACTTGGGTCCAGCCAGCAGGTAAGAATAGCCAAGAAGTTCCAACAAGCCCAGACAGGCACAGCAGCCCAGACGGAGGCAGCCTCCCCCAGGAAACAGACCATGGTAGCTCCTGCAGCTGCTGGAGGGCCCACTTCAAGGGGCCCACTGCAGGGCAGGCCTTGGCTGCTCCCACCCCTCTATCAGGACCTTGCTGAGCCCCCTTGGAGCTGTCGTCCTCGGAAGCATTTCCCTTCCTTGGACTAGTAGGATTCTTGAACTGGCTCTTGACCACCACTCTAGGCACCACTGAGCTGGGGTCGGCTGTGCCATTCCTTCTCTGCTGGGTTCCCAGAGCACCCCGGCCTGATGCCTGGCAGGAAAGAGGCGCTGCAAGAAAAGCAAGGCAAGGTAGTGCTATTCCCTTAGACAGGTAATGAAACAGAAGCCCAGGGCCTGGCGTGGTAGCGTAACGGTTAAAGTCCTCATCTTGAATGCGCCAGGATCCCACATGGGCACTTGTTTTAATCCCAGCGGCCCTGCTTCCCATCCAGCTCCCTGCTCGTGGCCTGGGAAAGCAGTTGAGGACGGCCCAAAGCCTTGGTTGAGTTCCTGCACCCGCATGGGAAACCCGGAAGAAGCTCCTGGCTCCTGGCTTTGGATTGGCTCAGCTCTAGCCATTGCAGTCACTTGGGGAGTGAAGCATTGGATGGAAGATCTTCCTCTCTGTCTCTCTTCCTCTCTATATGCCTGACTTTGTAATAAAAATAAATAAATCTTTTTAAAAAATTAAAAAAAGAAGACGAAGCCCAAGGAGTCGGCATGGTAGCTTAACAGGCTAATTCTGCTGCAAGAGCTGAGATCCCATATGGGTGCCAGGCCGTGTCCTAGCTGCTCCACCACCCATCTAGCTCCCTGCTTATGACCTGGGAAAGTAATACAGGACGACCCAAAGCCTTAGGACCCTGCACCCACAAGGTAGACCCAGAATAGGTTCTTGGTTCCTGGCTTCAGATCAACTCAGCTCCAACCCTTGTGGCCAGTGAACCAGCAGATGGAAGACCTTTCTCTGTCTCTCCCTCTCTCTGTAAATCAACCTTTCCAATAAATAAATAAATGCATAAATCTATCTTAAAATATTTCCCAGAAAGCAGCACAAGAGGTAACTGCCTTCTGGCCTAATGCCTAAGTCCCCCAGCACAGGTGGTTCTGCTCGCACACCCCAGTCCTCAGAAGAAACAGAGGCACAGACAGGGAGGCGCACAGCGTGGCAGCCTAGAACATCAGTTAGTGCATCAAGAGTCAGGTGCACACGGAGTGGCGGTTGACCTTTCACATCTGCAAACTCAAGTCGTTGATACTGTCTAAGCCATAGCACTATCGGGAGATTAATGTACGCAAATAACTTCATACCGGCTCCAGTACACACTAAGTGCTCAATAATTGTTAATTATTGTTATGCTTGTTGTTGTTCACAGTATTTGTGGATCCAGAGCTGGCAGCGCAGTAGCTCTGCCCACGTTATACACACATGAGGTCACTCTGGGGGCCCCCAGCCTCTCCCCACCCGGTCAGGGCGAGCTGGACGAGTCCGGCCGCCCCGCCCCCGCCAGACTTTAAGAAGGCAGGCCGGGCGCACGCGCACACGGCGCAGCCCGAGCAGCAGACGCGGGTCCCGGCCGCCGCGCACGTGCATGGAGGGGCGCGCGAGCCCCCCGCGCGAGCCCCGCGCCCGCCCGGCGGCGGCCGTGCTGTGCCGGGGGCCCGTGGAGCCGCTCGTCTTCATGGCTAACTTTGCCTTGGTCCTGCAGGGCCCGCTCACCACGCAGTACCTCTGGCACCGCTTCAGCACCGACCTCGGCTACAATGGCACCCGCGACAGGGGTGGCTGCGGCAACCACAGCGTGAACCCCACGATGCAGGTAGCATGGTGGCGCCGGGGAGCCAGGGCAACGTGGCGATGTGTGGGGTCGGGGCACGGAGGGTAGGCGGGCCCTGCGCGCGTGGAGGCGGCCGAGGGGCGGGGAACGGAGGCGGAGACTGGGCTGCTGGGGAAGGTGGTGGTGGCGGTCGGGGCCTGGCTGGAAGGTTAACCTAAAGGAATGGGTCGTATTCCGTTCTCCCGCAACACCATGTGTCCCATCCAAGCATTAACCGCTCCAGACCCTTCTTGGCTTCTGAGATCGGGCGCATTCCGGGTCGTATGGCCATAAACTAACCCCCTCTCCCCGCCTGGCCTGGTGGAGAGGCCGCTCCAGCCAGAGCCCTCATTCCTCGCGCCTGGAGTATGGCAGGGTGAGTCCCCACCCCCACCCCAGGGAGCCACCACAACCCACCCATGAATACCCCTACAGGAAGTGGAGACCCTCACCTCCCACTGGACACTCTACATGAACCTGGGCGGCTTCCTGGTGGGGCTCTTCACGTCCACCCTGCTGGGAGCCTGGAGCGACCGCGTGGGCCGCCGTCCCCTGCTCATCTTGTCCTCACTCAGCCTGCTGGTCCAGGTCGTGGTGTCCATCCTCGTGGTGCAGCTGGAGTTGCACGTGGGTTTTTTCGTGCTGGGTCGCATCCTCTGCGCCTTCCTCGGGGACTTCAGCGGCCTCCTGGCCGCCAGCTTTGCCTCCGTGGCCGATGTCAGCTCCAGGCACAATCGCACCTTCCGGATGGCAGTGTTGGAGGCGTGCATCGGGGTGGCCGGGATGCTGGCCAGTCTCACTGGGGGCTACTGGCTCCGGGCCCAGGGCTATGCCAACCCCTTCTGGCTGGCCCTGGCTGTGCTGGTAGTCATGACGCTCTATGCAGCATTCTGCTATGGGGAGACGCTGAAGGAGCCCAGGCCCACCCGGCTCTTCACACTGCATCACCACCGATCCATCGTCCGGCTCTATGTGGCTCCCGCCCCGGAGAAGTCCCGGAAACACCTGGCCCTGTATTCACTATCCATCTTTGTGGTGCTCGCGGTGCACTTTGGGGCTCAGGACATCCTGACGCTCTATGAACTGAGCGCACCTCTCTGCTGGGACTCCAGGCTCATTGGCTACGGCTCTGCGGCCCAGCAGCTCTCCTACCTCACCAGCCTGCTGGGCCTACGGCTCCTGCAGTGCTGCCTCTCTGACACGTGGGTGGCTGAGATCGGCCTGGCCTTCAACATCGCAGGGATGGTGGTCTTTGCGTTTGCTACCATCACACCTGTCATGTTCACAGGTAACGTGTGTGGGCTCACTGGGTGACAAGTGGGCATCAGCCCCTTGCTGCCCCTAAGTGTAGATCCTGTTGGTGTCTGGTGAACGTAGCTGGTCCCTCACCCCCTGCCTGCAGCTGAACGGCAGAGACACACCACCTGTGGTACATGGAGCATGCAGGTTATCAGTAGCCCGAGTAATTAATCCACATTATGAACTATAAATGTCAGTAATGTGGAGCAAAAGACTTCAAAAACTTAGCTCATGAGACTAATTGTTTCACCCCTTGGCCTCTCACAGCCAATTTACGGTGTTCTTAAACAAAGTCCATGCCATTAAATGCATGGTGCTTCTCTGATAAGAACCACAGGAACTACTTAGATACCCTTGGGATCTTTTTTTAAAAAATGATTTATTTATTTGTTATTTTAAAAGTCAAAAGTTACAGAGAGAAGGAAGAGAGATAGAGCAAGTGAGCTTCCACCTGCTGGTTCACTCCCCAGATGGCCACAGTGGCCAGGACTGGGCCAGGCCAAACCAGTGCCCATATGGAATGCCCAGTGTCACAGGCAGCAGCTTTACTGCTCTGCCACAGCACCAGTCCGGACTCTGGGAGTCTTTGAAAAGGCTGGTCTTCCTAGCCCAGACATGAGATTACTGCTATTTTAGTTCCTCTTCCCGACAGCCTTCTCCTTTCCCTCTCCTCTTCCCCCTCTTCCTTTTTTTTAGGGGGTTAGTGAGAGGGTGGGGTAAGGGAAGGGCAAGGAAGGAAGTTAATTTTTTTTAAAGGGGCAGTTTTGGACCAAGCCCTGAACTATGTGTGCCGAGTCAGCCATCCAACAGTGTAACTTTTGTAACCAGGCTGTCTGTGTGACAGAGAAGCCTGGTGGTCTCCATTCCTGCCTGGGCATGTGTCCCCTCCTGGGCCCGTCCTGCGTCCTGCACAGCTGGGTGGGAGCCCGGCTGCCTGTCACATCACCCCCCTTGCCCTGGCCCATGCTCCTGCTGATGAGCCTCCTCCTCCCCCCCAGGATACGGGTTGCTCTTCTTGTCGCTGGTCATCACACCCATCATCCGGGCCAAGCTGTCCAGGCTGGTGGGCGAGTCAGAGCAGGGTGAGTACTGGGAGTCAGGCCCAGGGTCACCTGGACCAGGCAGCTGGGGCTGACCTTCCTACCTCCTACCCTGGAGGAGGAACTGGATGAGACAGGCAGGCTTGTGTCTAGGTGCCCAGGGCAGGTGGTGGAGGACCACACTACCTGGGGTTTGCAGACCACAGAGTTGCAGCTGCTATACAGCAGTGTGTAGCGATGTCTCTTCAGGATAACCACAGTATTTATTCTTGCCAAACCTCAGATGTCCCATCTGTAAAATGGGCATGATGAGGCCCAGAGAAAATAAGGAACCTGATGACATACTTGTCATTGTTTCCAAGTAGCAGATACAAAAAGAGGCCCAGAGGGCAAAATTGATTCCCCCAAGGTGAATGGTGGTGCCAGGAGGCATGCCAAGGGCTGTTTGTAAGGGCAGGGGTCTCAGGCTATGTCAGCGACTCCCTTGCTTGTGACCCGAATGGTTTGCTCGTGCTGCCATCTGCAGGCCCTTCTGCCAGGCTCCAGCACCAGCTTCTCTAGGGTCAGCACTCATTTGGCCACTTGTGTGTCCTGCCCTCCATCTGGACTCTTTCTGGGGCTCGCTGCATTTGGCCCATCTGTTGCTCATGAAGAGACCCTGGTGCCCTGCACAGCCCACCTTGACCCAGTGGCCGTGGAATGCCACACATACCTCCATATCCCTCTCAGTCTGCCCTGTCACTGTCTGGAGATGTCATGGGGAGGAGGGTGGGCGTGGGAGAAGAGAACAGCCCTCACCACCAGGGGGCCAGGCCCCAGAAACCAAATGTGGCCGACAGCCTGTGAAGTGGATGCTGGCCATGCAGGAGGCCGGATGTTCAGTGGTCACACAGCTCTAAGTGTCAGATCTGGGCATTGAACCGCTGGCTAATCCCAACAGCAGGAGAGGACTCCAAACAGGATAAGCCAAGGCGAGGGATTTACATCATCAGACGAGACCACACGTGGTTTTAATGGGGATTGAACAGCAGCCATTTATTTGGTAGCTCTTCTGGGCCAGGTGCCTGGGAGAATCCTTATCACAACACGTGACTTGTGGGCAAGATGAGAGGTTAGGTGACTGTACCTGGCCATACAGCCTCGAGGTCACGGTGCCAGGCCTGAAAACTGGGTCTCTGAGATCGCACGGTGTGGTGGTGTGTTTCCTCACAGGTGCCCTCTTCTCCGCTGTGGCCTGTGTGAATAACTTGGCCATGCTGGCAGCCTCAGGCATCTTCAACTCACTCTACCCGGCCACTCTGAACATCATGAAGGGATTCCCTTTCCTCCTGGGAGCCATCCTCCTCCTCATCCCGTCCGCTCTGATTGGGTATGGTGGGGCCCTGCCTCCAGCCCGTCCTGGAACCCTTTCTCCTCAGAACCCCACCCCTCCTCCACACCCCGGAAGACAGCCTTGTAGTTCTTCATTCTGGGTGGACCACCCCTCACAGACAGAGCCATGCCCTACAGTCAGGGCAGAGGGGCAGATCGGGGAAGGACCCGGCAGGACTGAGATGTCCCACCCAACCCCGTTTCCTTCATCCATCTTGGTCTTTTCTTTGCAGCCGGATTGTGGTGGTAGGACTGTACTACAGAGAAGCTGGAAAGCTTCCTCTGCTGCCTGTGGCTAGGCCACAGGCTGGCCTGGCGCATGACTCATTCCCCTATGGTCTGAAGGGGGCCTTTCCCAAGCTACTTGTAGCTGCCATTGTCATCCACCTCACAGCTTAGGGGGCAGGAGGGAGACTCGGGAGGAAGATACCTGGATCAGCCAACCAAGTAAACCCCCTGTCGTGTCGCCCCTGTCGGATCTGAACGCTCTCTCCATTCTCCCACAGGATCCTGGAAAAGGCTACTTCTCATCTTGAGTTCCAGCAGTTTCCTCAGAGCCCTGACCTGCCAGGACCAGAGGACAAGAGAGCCAAGGGGGCAGAGTAAATCCAAACCAACCGGAAGTCTGCACCTGGGCACCTAGCACCCTGTGCCGCACTACTGGTAGCTCCCTTCAAAGGACTGTGCTGACCCTGGACCAGGTGATCAGGGGTAGCTCATCCAGTCAAGCCAGCCTCTGATTAGGATCCAGATTCATAACCCAGGCAGGGATGTGGCAGGGCATGGCAGGAGGTGCCCACCATCGCTTACACCCCTCCAAGGAAGCAGGCAGGTCCTGCTGGAGGTGACACTTCAGGGACCAGGTGGAACATGAGGACTGGCCTCTCTTCCCATCACTGCCTGCACGGCCCTCAGGCCCAGGTCTTCCCATCTACCCAGTGGCCACCTGTCCCTCCTTAGGGATGACACAGTGCCTGGCTAGTAGCCAGCCACCTACGAGGAGGCGACAGCTGTGGGAATGGCTCCGGGGAGGGGAGTGCTGCTGTCACCTGGTTAGGAATCAACCCTGTGTGGTGCCTGCCCGCCCCTGGCTGAACTGTCCCTCATCATAATAAATCAATTCAATCAGACATTCAAGCCCCCAGGGCAGTGGGCTTCTTTTCTTGCTCCTGGTCTGCCTGCCACAAGTCAGACAGCAGGAGTTGCTGGGCTGGGCGGGAGCTCCTGGTTGCCCATGGGACCAGTGCTGGGAATGGGCAGCCTGGGCATCTGACTCCATTACCTCAGTGATTGCAGGAGGGAAAAGCTGCCAGGCTCGCATCAGACTAACAAAGCAGCCAAGGGTGGGCCCTGTGGCCCTTGGCTGAGAGCCATGAGAGCCTCTTCCTGGGACTTACCTGTGCGAGTCTCCCTGCCTCATGAGTCAGGGTGGGCAGTTTTTATGACCAGTCGTCTCTCCCAACACCTGCCAGCCCTGGGCATTCCCGCAGAGCCATGCACTGAGACCACCCATTGTGCCCCTACAGGAAGCTGAGAGCTAGGCCCAAATTCCTGAAGCAGACAGGTCTCAGGTTCCCAAAGAATGGGAGGGCCCATTTCCCTGGAGCTGAAAGGCAGAATCTTCATGAATATCAAGTCCCCATATACTATCCTTCTCTTACCTGCTCTGCCAGCTAGTTTTCTGGCTGGAAATCATGTGGGTGAAATAGGGGCAGCCCAAGGTAAACCAGAACCATCTCCCATCCTCTGCCCCCCTGCCCACTTGCCCATAATTGGGAGGCCTAGGCAACCACCAGAATTCTTAGGGGACACAGGGAAAGGCATGAGCTGGCCTTAGCCAGTCTCCTGTTGGTAGGACCCAGATTAGTAGCGCCCCCAGTCACTGTGGGGACCACACTTGAAGGTAGGGAATGTGGTCAGCTGAGAGCTTCTGGCCTTGTTCCGCATGTCCTAGGGGAAGGATGAGTGAACTGTGGCTGGACTTTTGTTCTTTTGAGTGTCTCGGGTGGGAAAGGGACCTAGCTGACTCAGCCCCAACCTGCAGGCAGCAGCTGTAACCTAGTCAAGCAGAAAATCCTGGCTTCATAGGCCTGTGTCAGCGGGCTTTGGGGGACAGGCAGCTGCTGAGTCCTGGGTCAGCCACAAGGGGTCACGTGCTTGCCCTGACTGACCCCAGCAGTGCTTGTCACAGCAGGGGTGAGGGTAGGGGAAGCAAGGAAGTCACACTGGAACACACTGGCCTGGCCAGGGGAGCCCTTTATTCAGCTGCTCCAGACTGAGGCGGAAGAGGCACGGAGGGAGTGCCATACAGAAAAACAAGGGACCCAGATAATGCCCGTGGGGACCTCAGAACAGAGAGAGACCAGCTGGGGTGAGAGGACAGAAAGCTGTGAGGACAACACCCAAGGACTGGAAGGAAAGAACCTCATGAGCCTGGAGGCAGAGAGCTAGGAGTGATGGGACCAGCACTGGGATGTGGGGAACTGAGCCAGCTGTGCTGTGAAGCCCAGGCCCCCAGGAGGGAAGACGCAGGGCAGGTTCCAGCCAACCTCACTGGAGGAGGGGGCTACTTTTTGTTCTTGCCTCCCAATGGAGGGAGGAAGAGAGGGTTACTTTACTGCTGTTCGGTTTTACCCTAGGGCCCTGGGCAGTCTTCATGTGTCCAAACCTAAGCAAGCTCTCACAGCTCAATTCTTGAGGCGCAGGGAAAGCAGCTGCTCTGCGTGGGGCGTAGCCTCTGGGGTGATTCTCTGGAGGGCAGATCCTACTGGCCATGGACAGGGGACCTGGACCTGCCTGGGAAACTGGTTATCACCCAAGCTTTCAGACACTCAATTTCCTTACCTGTGCAATGGGTATGCTAATGCCAGATGGGGTTGCTGTGATGATTACAGAGACCTGGAGGGGCTTACTGTTCGACTATCATCCCAGGGACCAACAGCATCAGGGTGTTCAAAGTGGAGAGGTGACTAGGTGGTCCTAGGTGATAACCCTAGGTTCTGCCCAGGCTATGGCCTGGACTCCCTCCCCACTGAGCAAGCCAGTGGGTAGTCGTGGGTAGGTGAGGGTCTGGAGAAGCCAGCTGGGCCAAGGCAGGCAGGAGCCAGAGGGCACAGCACCAAGACATAGGGTAGATGGGCTCTGAGATATGGCTTCCCCCTGCCGAGACCCAGCCCAAGCAGGAGGCTCCTGTGCACCAGCAAGTGCAGCCAAGCTGGCCGCAGTCACAGACATGCCAGTGTAAGGACAAGCCTTGACTCATGAGGCCAAGGAAGCTGCCGTCATGGAAGACAGATCTGGGGGCTTGCCCAGGCTGCGTGGGGACACTGAGTGCTTAGGATGCAAGGCCACAGGGCAGCAGGAAATAGCCCGAGAGCCAGGGACGTTCTGGCCTCCCATCTCCAGCTGCCTCCTGATCCAGCCCCTTGCTTGTGCCCAGGCCAAGAGGCACTTACAAGTCTTTGACAATGGTGGCAGATAGCTAGCGAGCCATGGGAGTTGAGATCTGACAACACTTAAGGCGTGGGCACAGCCCAAGGCCATGGTTTTGCCAGCCTACTCAACCTCACTGCAGGTTCGGCACACCCTCTCACGCAGCTAAGCCTCAGGTTCCATCATACAGCAGACCCATGGCAGCTGCCTAGAGGTGACTGAGTGCCCTGCAGCCCCCCACCAGGCCCTGCCCCAGCACCAACCCTAACCTATAACAAGGACCACCCCAGCCAGAGCCAGGACAGTTCTCATGGGGTTGGCCGTGGGTATCCCTTTGCCTTTTGGTAGGTTCTGCTTTCCCACTCACCTCTGTGTCTCCCAGGTCTACTGTCACACACAGCAAGGTCTCTGCTCCCCACCACACCTCCACCCTGCTCAAGCTGCCTGCTGTCAGGGCAGGAGGAGGGAGACCATACTTGGCCCATTAGAGAGGCTATTCCTTTAGGGAGGATGCTGGAAATGGGAGTCACAGCGGGGTTGGGAACCCAGGGACAGGCTAGACTGGGCCCATTGGTGCAGCACCCTCTAAACTGGTGTCAGAGCCCGCAGACGAATCCCGGGAAGAGCGGCCCTGCAGGAAGCGGATGATCTTCTCGATAGTGGCCTCCTGATACTCGTGGGACCACCTGTGAACACACAGAGCCCATCCGGTCAGAGGGCGGGGCAAGGGAGGAGCAGGCCAGCGGTCTTTGGCTTTGCCGCCTGTCAGAGGGACTTGTCCCACCCCCTTGCTCAGGACCTCCCCCCCCGGGGAGCGGCTCACTTGATGCCATTGAAGGTGAGCACAGCCTGCATGTCCTCTGGGAGGGCCTGTGGTTCAGGCCACTCGAAGCCATCGATGACCGGGACGATGTTCTTCCCGCAGCTCAGAGCAGTCACGATCTCCTGGAGGAAGAGAGGGGAGGAGACCCTCGTTCCTGTACAGCATCACTGGGGTCAGGCAGCTGCTGGGGAGCCCACTGGCCCTGATGTGCACTTTATTTAGTTTAGGTTTTTTTTTTTTCTTAAGATTTATTTTATTATTTTTATTGGAAAGTCAGATATATAGAGAGAGGAGGAGAGAGAAAGATCTTCCATTCATTGATTCATTCTCCAAGTGACTGCAATGGCTGGAGCTACGCTGATCCAAAACCAGGAGCCTGGAGCCTCTTCTGGGCCTCCCACACAGGTTCAGGGTCCCAAGGCTTTGGGCCGTCCTCTCCTGCTTTCCCAGGCCACAAGCAGGGAGTTGGATGGGAAGTGGAGCTGCCGGGATTCGAACCAGAGCCCATATGGGATCCTAGCACATGCAAGGCAAGGAATTTAGCTGCCAGGCCCACTTTCTTTAATTTTAATAAAACATTAATATTGGGCATTTGCTCCACTTTCCTGCCACAGAACTCCTAAAACCCTTGGGATCTCCTGGGTGATGAGTGTCATGTTAATGAGGTGACACATTGCTGGGGTGGGCAAGTGAATGGTGGGCAGAGAGAGTGGTCTTTTTAGTGACCAAAGCCTGATTAGAGGGCTGGAACTTTCAGAGGTCAGGTTCAAGCACCGATGGTCAATAATTTCATCAACATGTGTGGATCATGAAACTAGAATAAAAGCCCCCGGATAATGACATTTGAATTTCCAGGCCATGGTACACATTTAGGTACTGGAAAGGAAGGGTAAGTCACCCAAAGCATGGATGCGCTATGGCCCCCCTTTCTGTACTATGTAACTTCCATATGGCTGCACCTGTGTACCCTAATACACTGCACATGGTAAAATCCTTTCCCAAGTTCCGTGAAACAGAATCAGCATTAAAAATGGAATCACGTATGTCAAACCCCAACGAAAGGGCTGTGAAGGTGGTGCCCATGTGCATGTATGCCTAAGAAGGTACCCATCCAATCCAAAAGACTGCTCCAGCCATAGCATTCCAAAGAAGCTGCTTGCCCAAGGACGCTCAGTGGGGCTGTCTTTCCACCCATGAGCTGGCACCAGCTCCTGCAACAAGCCCCATAAGCGGCGGTCTCTGTTCTCTAACTGTGAGGACTCCATCCTTTCATAGTAAAAGCTCCCGCTCACCCCAAGCTCTTTGGATGTGCCCATGGTCAAATAGATTGCACCTTCTTCCTAGTTTTGCATAAACTTGATTTTGGAGAGTAATTTTGTCATTCAGTTTAGGATGACAGTTGTGCTGTGAAAATTTATTTGAAAGGCCAAAATGTGTGTGAGAGAGACAGAGAGAGGGGGCAAAATCCATCTGCTGGCTCACTCCCCAAATGGCTGCAACAGTGGGGCTGAAGTCAGGAGCTCAGAACTCCAGCTGGCTCCACAGGGTGCAGGGGCCCAGGTACTTGGACCATTTTCCACTACTTTCCCTGGCCACTGCAGGGAGTGGGACTGGAGGTGAATTAGCCGGGACTTGAACTAGTGCTACACTATGGGACGTCAGTGTCGCAAGCAACAGCTAAACCATCAGTACCACAACGCTTGCCTCTAAACTGACAGTTCTGTGAGCCGTTCTGACAAACCACTAAACCTGGGTGTGAGATGCCCCGAAGACTCCCACATGTACAGCCAAGATAGACAGAAAGGAGGGACCTGGGGGCTCAAGGCCTTGGACCTGGCAAGGCCGCAGGGACAGCAGTCTCGTGGGAGCCCTTCCTCCTAAGGGCTGTACTGAGGCCCTGCAGAACACAATGCTGTTGCAGATTTCAGTTTATTCCTAGGTCATGTTCTTGCTACTTTCCTTCTCCCCCAGGCACAAGGGCAGGGGGCTGGTGTGTTTCTCACTCACCTGATGGGTCTGGGCCTCTTGCACAGCCCTGCCCTTACTAAGTGTTTAATGGATGGGCACAGGAAGCAAGGAAAAGCATGGCACAGTGGTAGGGATGGCACCCAGAGCTGAGTTCTCATCAGATTTCTGACAGAGACTCTGTGACCCGAGGCTCTGCACATTGCTGTCTGGATACAGGAATGCAGCCAGGGGGTCACCAGAGGTTAGGGTGGCACCTGGCATATACAGGGTGCTTTCCAAAGTGCATGGAAAATGGAGTAAAAAAATGAACACATTCATTCCACAAGCCTAAAAACAAACCAGGCGCTGTTGTCCGCTCTGTGAGGGGAGCCTGGACGGCAGGCCCTGCGGTGAGCTTGGTGCTGAGGCTGCCGGGTTAATGGTGCTGGGACGCGATGCTTTTTGGCTTCCCTCTCACGAGCAGCTCCAGGGACCAGATTTGGCTGAGCTCGGTTCACTTGTGGGCATCCATACGGATTACCGCTAAATGCGGCTTCTGGGAAAGGAGTATTCAATCTTGGAGCAATTAAGCACTAAAAACAAGCCAGAGGGATGATGCCATGGTGGGCAGGATCCACAGAGAGGGCTTCACCAGCCCCCACCACCCACTTTCTTGTGCTCTCCTGGTTGCTGGGACAGCCAAGTCTGTTTGTAGAGTGGAGTGGAGCCTTCCTCTGTGGCTTTGTCCTCACCTGGCCTCCTGGGGAGCTCCTACTGGTGAAGAGGAGGCTCCAGGAGGGGAAGAAACTTCCTGCTCACATCTTGGTGGGGCCAGGCCTCCAGCCCGAGCCCTGTGCCTCTGGGCTGAGTGATGGGATGGAGTCTGCCCCTTGCGGAGAGCGAGCATCTGTTTCCTCCAGAAGCAAGTCAATACAGATCGTTCAGTGCCCAGATACAGTGTGTGGCTCATGGCAGGCCTCTCACTGGGGCACTGGGCTTGGCGGGCAACAGTAACGGCTGAGGACGGGGAACTGCATTTTTCACAACAGCTAGGAGGGAGGATTTTGAATGTTCCCATCAGAAAGAAATGTTAAAAGTCTGAAATGATGGCTGTGGCAACTGTCCTGAACTGATGCCTACACATCACTCTTCACTACTGAGATACCACTCTGTACTCAATGTGTCCATTAAAATTAAAACATATGTTGGCAAGTTAAGCTACCACCTGCTCCCCCAGTTTCCCATGTTGGAGCTCTGGTTTGAGCCACAGCTGCTCTGTTTCTGACTCAGACCCGTCTCGACATCTTCTTCATCCCTTAGGTCATGGTGGTCTGTCCAGGACGCCTCTCCCATCTGCCTAAAGTTAAGACTCTTCTCAAGTCCTGCTTCCTCCACGAAGCCTTCCCTAATTGCTCCAGGGCTCAGCACCCTCTTGGTTCTCCCTTTTTCTCTGTCACTCTGCCTTTGAAATAAGTAAGTAAAGCTTAAAAATCCCCAGTGGATGTCTGAAACTACAGGTAGTACAGAATCCTATGTACATTCTGCTTTTTTTCTGAAACACATAATTCATGTGAAGTTCAAATTTAAAAGTCGGGAGAAAAGAAATAAGAGGATAGCAACAACTAAGAGTAGCACGGAGCAATGATAACAATATGCTATGATAAAGGCTACTTCAAACATAGGAACTGTTTTTCTCTAGAATGTTCCATTTAGCATTTTTGAACCTCTGTTGAACGCAGGTTAGCTGCAGCTATGGAAGGGACCAATGCGTCATCCTAACTAGCTTACCGCAGTCTCTCGTGCCTGGACAGCCACTATGCATCAGGCATTCAGCAAAGCAGTTCACAAAGCTCAGCTCTTTGAATCCTTCTAACACTGCCCTTGGGAGTTAGCAACCATGAACATAATCCCACCTTCTCAGGGATTAGGCAGTTCACCCAAGGCTGGAGCGAGGACTTGATCTCACACTTCTGCACTCTCAACAATAGCTCCAGTCTGCCCCTCATGGTGCCCTCCTGTACCTCACGGCGGTTACTCTTCAAAGCACGGCCATCTCTCTGTAGCCCTAACAGCAATCTTAGCAGGTAAATGATGAACAAACTGAGACTCAAAGGGTCCATATTGCTGGCCAACAGCCTATTACAATCAGAGCCATGGCTCCTGACCTTCCGCTGGGCCAGAGAGGTTCTCTGGGGGCTCAATGTTCCTAGGATGCCCAGACAAGGAGGAGGGGCCTATCGTCAGGATTACAGGGACTGCAGAGGTCCTGGCTGGCACCTACCTACCTTGTGCACCCAGTCCTTGCAGTCATGGTCCTGCATGCACTTGTCCAGTGCCCCTGCTGACAGCACCAGCACAAAGTTGCGGGCCCCCATGACACTCTGGATGAGTTTGTCCTCGAACTTGCCAGCTTCCAGCTTCTCCACATCAATGAAGACACTGAAGCCATGCAGCTGCAGGTGCACCTTCAGGAGGCTGCCAAGAGGCCAAGCGTCAGTGCCACGACCTCACCTAAAGGCCCCAGCTGCCTGCTGGCCCACCCGCCCGCCTGCCTTTTCTGCTTTACCTGGCCAGCTGGGAACCCGAGCTCCGGCGGTAGCTGATGAAGACATCTGGGGTGTCCCCACTGGGCTTGCAGCTGGTGCAGGGCAGCGGGGAGTGCAGCATTTCTGAGGCAGATGAGAGGCAGTTCGGGGAAGCTAACCACCACAAGGCACATCATTCCCCTGTCCACCCAGCTCTCTGCCACCACAAAAGGTCACTGGGGTGGAGAAATGGGGCCCTTAGGGAGAAAGGCTACATCTAATGGTGGGTTCTAACTACCAAATCCTTCAGCTCCAGGCTCCTCCCTTTGTTTTGGCCCCCAGGACAGCCTTCTCCCATTATCCTGATCTGATCACTGTGCCACAGCTACTACTGAGGCGTTTCCTCAAGTCCAGATCTGAGTGTGCATGCCATTGCCCTTTGGCTGGCTTGCTACTTCTACCAGAGCCACTTGTTACGCCACATTTGCCCAATGACCTTCCTGTTTTCTGAAAATGAAAGTCTATGAGAATATTTTGGGGAGCCGTCATGTGAAAATGGTCAACACTGACTGACTTGGGTTGAGACTGAAGAACAGGACCAAAGCCCAGTGTCTGTGCTGTGGGCATGCTTACTATACGCTTGCTGAATGAATGAACAAAATGAATTATCTCCATACAGTATTCAGACTTAACACTCATACACAACATTTGTCTGTTTATGAAGTAGAAAGGCTTAGGTTCAAATCCCAGTTCTTTCATCTAATGACTCTAAAAACCCTGGGAAATATCTCTCAATCCTTTAAACCTCAGCTTCTCTATTTTTAAAATTAACACCCAAGAGTCCTGTGTTGTGGCGCAGTGCGTTGATTTGATATTGACGATGCCAGCATCCCATAGTTGGAGTCCCGCCTTCTTTGTTTCCAGTTCCTTCTAACACTCCTGGGAAAGCAGTTCTTGGGCCCCTGCCACCCATGTGACAGATCAGATGGAGCTCCAGACTCCTGGCGCTAGCCTGACCCAGGCCTGGCTACTGTGGCCATTTGGGGAGTGAATCAGTGGATGATAGATCTCCTTGTACGTTCCTGTCTCCATTTCTCTCTCTGTAACTCTGCCTTTAAAATAATTTTTTAAAGCTTTATTTTTATTGGAAATGCAGAGTTACAGAGAAAAGGAGAGACAGAAAAAAAAGGTCTTTCATCCACTAGTTCACTCCCCAGATGGCCACAATGGCTGGAGCTGAGCTGATTGAAAGCCAGGAGCCAGGGACGTCTAGGTCCCAAGGCTTTGGTCCATCCTCTGCTGCTTTTCCAGGCCACAAGCATGGAGCTGGGTGGGAAATGGAATAGCCAGGGCATAAATGCCAGCACCCATAGGGGATAGCAGGAGTATTAGCCAATTGAGCCATTGCTCTGGGCCCTCTCTAAAATGTTTTCAATGTTGATTTTTAAAGATGCTGCTTGGAACAACCACATTGCATGTCAGGGTCTTCAGGGATCCAGTCTCCCATCTAGCTTCCTGCTAATAATGTATGCCCTGGCAGTGGGTAGTGCCTCAAGTAGCTGGGCCCCTGCCACTCACGTGGGAGATCTGGCTTGAGTATCTAAGAAGCGCCTGGCCTCCACCTGGTTCAGACCCAGCTGCAGCAGGCTTTCGGGGAGGAAACCAAAGAAGGGGACGTCTCTTCCTGCCTGTCACTATCTCTCTGCCTTGTAGATAAATAAACAAAATGAGAAGTGAACACTGCCTGGGATGGATGCAGAGATTAATACGAGAACACTTTCATGCAGTGCCTGGCACGTGAACAATAAATCAGATAAACTGTAAATTAGTGAAGGAAACCATGTGAGCACACGCAGGGGGATGCTAAGGCCTGCAATCCACTCCAAAGCCCGCCCAGATTCACACGGTGTGAGCTCTAGGCTAGAAAAGCTCCCTGCATTACCACCTATACCTCAGGTGTGCAACCCTGCTCTGCCCCACCTTCACACAGGCCCGTGCCACCCTGACACCACTCTCCCACATCCTTGGAGACTTGGGCAGGCATCCACGCCTCCCCACAGTCTAGGCCTGGGTAGACTAGGCGGGGGCCACTGGAATCCTGGTCACGCTTCCTGCTGGGGCCACGTGTCTACACCCACACCTGCTACTTCTTGAGGGGAGAACTCAGCATATTCATCTCTGCAACCTCAGCTTCATCTTCCAAAAGCCAGTGAGAAAGCCCATTTGTGGATTTAAACATGGGGTTTCATCAGAATAAATTCATCCTTTAATTGCATTCCCCACCCCTCCCCAAACTTTTGCAAGCACCCTGGAATGCGCTCATTCTCCATCCCTCCTGGGCTGGGGTTGAAGCAGTGTCCCCAGGAGCCTCAGGTGCAGAGACTGACCTCTGGCGGCCGTGAGGATGCGCGCGCGGTGCACTCCCAGGCGGATGCCGCAGTCTTCCAAGAGCTGCTGCTCGGACACTCGGTGCAGCAGCGAGCGGTCTAGGCCGCAGCTGACCAAGCCGTAGGTGTACTGGCGGAAGCGAGGGTCCAGGCTGCCCAGCCAGTCTGCTAGGTTGCTTCGGTCACATGTAGCATAGTTGGCAAAGGTCTTGAGCTCTGTGAGCTCCCGGAAGAACCTGCGACCCCGGGAGAAGCTGCTGAGGTCGAGCTGGGGGCAGTTAGACCCAGCGGAGTGGGGTGTCTAAACTGAGTACCTCTTGCGGGTGATGCCTGATTTTATGCCCAGGTCGTGCAGAAGCTCCTCCTCCGTGAGCCGCAGCAGCAGGTCGCCGTCAACCTGCTGCTCCTGGGGGCAGAAGGGTTGCAGGTAAGGAAAGGAATGGCTGGTTCCTCAGCCTCAGCCCAGGGACTGTGAGAATACGCGACCCCGCGATGACTGCCAGTGCCAGGTGCATGGAATTGTCCAGGGCTGCGGAGGAGGTGGAAAGGACCCGAATGGGATGCTGAGGGACCCAAGGGTATAAGCCCCTCAGTCCCAGGGAGACCACCTTGGTGCCAAGGGCGTGTGTATGTGTGTGTGGTGATTGTGGTCTGTGCCCTGAGGAGGCACCCACGGCCATACCCGGAATCTCTGGCAGTACTGGGAGAAGCCGATGTGCTGCAGCCATGTCTGGACCTCGGCCTCCTTCCAGCTGGCCACACAGGGCAGGATGGGCCGAGGCACCTCCTCGCCCAGCAAGCGCAGAGCGCGCTTGGCCAGGGCTGAGGTGGTGCCATTGGTGGAGTAGGAAACAAGGCGTTTCAGGCTTTGGATGGCCCCGATGTCGCTGAACACCTGGGGGGGATGGGGAAAGGGTGTTGAAGAACCTAGGTGTTTTCTGCTTTTGTGATTTCTGCCTTACTTGCTCTAAGACCCACTGCTCTATAGCTCATTTGTACTTTTTGAAAGTTGCTTACTTTAAACCCACCAATAGAAGCCTGCCAACTTGTTCTTTTTGAAAGTTAACAGACAAACTGACCAATCATGACTGTATAATTACATGGAATTGGCCTGATATGTATAAGGACCCTGTGCTGTTCAACCTCGCTCTCTTCTTTCAGACCTTCTTCTGCCCCTTCTGTTGCAGTTTTTCCTGCTTCGGCCACCCTAGTGGCTGCTACTGCTCCCTTGTCCTTCTGGGCTGGGAGCCTAGGTTAGTTTTAAATAAACCGCCTTTATGCGCTTGCATTGACTTCAGACTCCTGATGATTTTCTGGGGATTGCAAAATCGGGCACAACAGTGTCTCGGGTCCAACTGCTCCACAGCAACCCCCCACAGCAGACTGTCTCACCAGCTGGCCTAGTCCTGCCTTCAACAGCTCAGTCACCCAGATCCATGTTTTTTTGGTTCCTCAACGTGTCCCTTCTAACAGTTTCCATCGCCCTGGGGTAGTTGACCTGTCTTTTTGACTGCCAAGCCCCGCACCGTGCAGTCTTGGCCCACCACTCCTAGCTTACTTTGCTTTCCATCAGCCCATGAGAGACAGCACCACTCCTGCACGCACCTGCCTTTTGGGACTTGGCCTGTGGAGTTTCCAAATGCTTAGTTCTTCCAGGCTGCTTGAGGATATTCCAGTCACTCACCAGAACCCACAGTGATTGGCACCTCCTTGTGTAGCCTGCTCTGATTCCCTCCTGCACGGCCTCCATCTGCATTCTGTGTGTCACTGTTACCAGTTGGTGATGCAACTTCTACTAGATAATAAGCTGATGACATGTCCTGGCCAGCCCTGAAGTCCTATACCCAGCATGGTGAAAGACATGAAGTTGGGGCAGAGGTCTCAATATGTCTGTTGAACTGTACTTTTTTAGCCTTGATGGTGGAAGGGGGTGATGATCAGTTTTAATCTTTGGGGGCCCTCCCTCTCTACTGCCTTGCTTCCACAGCCCAATTTTGGGGTGCAGAGAGAGGAATCAGGAATTCCTAGGATGCCCAGCACTGGAAGAAACCTTGGAGGCCCCTCCCAGAGCAGTCCTTCTCCATCTAAAGGAACATACATGACAGTGACAATCACCTGTGACACACACCTCACTGAGGGCCCCACCTGATAGCCAGCTGTAGACAAGCTGAGCCATAGGGTGTGCCCCATGACCTGTGTGTCAGCTGCCCTTGGACCCCTACTACTCAGAGAAATGTAAAGGAGAGAAAGGGTAACATTACAGAGATCATCTCAAATTGGTAAGATTTAAAAAGCAAAACAAATTAACTTTTGGGAATGAAGCTGTCATCCCATATCCAGGATAAGAACTGATGCTCTGATCCAACTCCATCAGGTTCCGAGAAGGCCCAGAGGTGGGGAGACAGGTGCCTAAGGCCACAAAGCAAGTTAAAGCAGCAAACTAAAGCTATAGATAAGACTCTGGGCATGGGGACCTCCTGGGACTCCAGTGGGGGTTACTGGTGACAGCCTTCTAGACTGTACATCCAAGCTGATGAACTGCCCCTTGATGCCTTCCCACCAGTCCTCTCTTGGGCCCCAGGAACTCAATATGTCCTATTAAACTCACCCTCTTGCCTACTCACTCCAACCTGTCTCACTCAGTCCACCTTCTCCTCTTGGTTGCCCTTGTTTATGGCCAGGAGTCACCCTCAGCTCCTCTCTGTTCCCCCACATCCTAATCCCACCTCTTAAATTCCTCTTGAACCTGTCTGCTTCTCTCTGCCTCTTCTCACACCCCTGCCTCCCTCTGGGTCCCTTGTCTGCAATCTAAACCTCTGACCACCCCTTTTCCACACAGTAACAAGGGTGACTTTGGTAAAATACACAAGCGTTGGGTGCTTTAAAACGAACCAACCAACCAAATGAACAAACAAACATCTCTGTTTCTTATTCTCATCCTCCAAAGACCAAACTTTGTATCCAAGGCAGCAATGACTGGCCTCTCATTCTTGTTTCACCTGATGCCAGTGTGTCCCTCAAGTCCCATCTCTCTAAGAAGCCCTGCCAGAGGCTCTTTAACCCAGAGGCTGCACTTGCACCCACCTTGGTCTTGCCCTGCAGGCTCTTGATGGCTGCCTCTGCGCAGAGGTAGAAAGCCCCGATGCACTGCGCCTCCAAGCGCGACGAGTCGAGCAGTGGCACGAGGCGCTGCAGGTCGTCGGGTCCTCGGCCCTGACTTGTGTCGCTGGCATCCACCAGGCAGCGGGCGAAGCGGCCAGGGTCCAGCGAGGCCACAAGCGGCTCCACGAGGGCCAGCGTGCCTGAGCGCTCCACCTCACGCTCCACTTCCTTGTTGGTCGCCAGCACCGCCACGGCAAGGCAGGCGTGCAGCCGCAGTAGCTCGTCCTCCTTTGAGAAGGCCAGTGGGAAGAGCCACTCTGCCGCGCGCTTCTCCACCATGCGCCGCTGCGTTGCCTGGCCCCCGTGCAAAGCGCAGTTGGCCAGTGCCAGCGCACAGTGGCGAAGCAGCGCTGGGTCGGTGCGGCGGCACCAGAATAGCACCGCATCCAGCCCACCGGCCGCCACCAGCCGCTGGCATGTCTCCTCCGAGTGCTTGAACATGTGCTCCAAGATGCCTGCCACGCTCCGCGCCAGCTCCACGGGCTCCCGCTCCTTCGCCAGGTTCAGGATCACGCCCATTCCAATGCGAGCCACACGGTCCCTACCGGAACAAAGTGGAAAGGATGGTGGAGATGCTACGGCCTGACTTGCCTGCTTGGTGCCTAGCTAGTGTTAGGCGAGGCACGGAGGAGCCTGACCCTCCCTCTCTTTAAAAATTTTTTTTAAGGATTTATTTTATTTTCATTACAAAGTCAGATATACAGAGAGGAAGATCTTCTGTCTGATGATTCACTCCCAAAGTGACCGCAAAGCCAGGTGCTATGCCAATCCGAAGCCAGGATCCAGGAACTTCCTCCAGGTCTCCCACGTGGATGCAGGGTCCAAGGCTTTGGGCCGTCTTCAACTGCTTTCCCGGACCAAGCAGGATGTTGGATGGGAAGCGGGACAGCCGGAATTAGAACCAGCCCCATATGGGATCCTGGCGTGTTCAAGGTGAGGACTTTAACCAGTAGGCCCGGGAACTTATTTTTGAAGTGTCACTTGAAGTACACCACTCTTGGCCTTGCCTTCAAGCTTTTCCTCATGCCATACCCCATGAACAGGTCACATTTATTCAAGAATTCAATAGACGAGTCTGTGCCAGACACCAGGGTAGAGGCTGAGACTAGACAAATGACAGACACTGAGCAGAGCTTATCTCCAACTAATGCAGATGCAGAGGAAGTGAAAAGCAAGTGAGCCGTGAGTGGACAAGACAGCAGCCATGTGGCCATGATGCCAGAGAACCAGATGATGTAATGGAACATGCCTGGTGGAGGACCCGTCTGGGACACTGACTTAGGACAGCTAACTGTTGAGAAAACCCAGCCCGACAGTGTCTGAGAGAGCAGCATATCAGGGAGAGCAATGACCCAAGGTCAAGCCCTGGGGCTGATGAGCTAGCATGGCGGAGGAAGAGAAAGATGGTGGTCAGTGAAACCACAAGGTCTGAAGAAAAGATAGATCAACTAGGAAAATGTATATGTAAATATTCAAAGCAACAAGACAAGCAGCGAATTTAACAGAAAGTGGGTGAAGGATGCAAATGGGAAATTGACGAAGGAGGAACTCTAAATGTGAAAAAACAGGTGAAGAATTGCTCTGGCTCATCATTAAGCAAAGAAGTAAGTTTCTACACCTACTGGCCAAGCTAAGTTGGAAGCTAGATATCACAGTGGGATGGGGGGTGTGGGGCCATGAGCACCCTGGAGCACTATGGAAGAAAGTACAGGCTGAGGCTGGTGACCTGTGCCCAAGAAACCTGCCTCATAGACCAACAAGGGCTTGTGGAGGAGGGTGTGAGAGGCTGGTGGCAGCAAGGGGTATCAAGCCTGCAACAGCAGAGATAACTTGGGCAGCTGCCTACTCTGCAGATTTGGGGCACAATTATAAGAACCTGAGAAAAAGAAATCAGCAATAGGAATTAGCAACACTCAAAGTAGGGAAAAATAAGAATGTGCTGACACAGTCCCCCAGGGAGCTGCAAGAAGGGGGTGAGTGCACCAAAAGAAAGATCTTCAAGAGGAGGCAATGGGGGCTAGTTGATGGAGGAGGAGACAAGTTTCATAAATTTAAATTTTCAGTGCTTTGGCCTATCTCCCCCTCCAGCCCTGTCCCCTAGTCTGGAGAGGTGGAGACAGGATTTCCACACCAGGTGTGATGTGCTCTGTCCTTGGTCCTGAAGTGAAACACATCACTATAGACTTTTCTTGGGGGACTGGGGATACTGGTTAGTGACTCCTCTCTTTAAAGTAACTCTGAGCCTAGATTATTGTTCTCACCCCTGGAAAAATATCAGCCCTATCTGCAACTTGCAGCCTCCTTCTCCTGGGGTTCTATTACCGCTGCTCATCCCACATACAAAGGCAACAGGGCACGCCCTCCAGCAAAGCCTCACCACATCCAGTGAGCACCCTCCCAAGCTCATGGCTCATCCCCATGAAGGCACCTGAGGTCGGACAGATGAGTGTCCTATGGAATCAACAGAACCCTATCTCAGTTTCCCAACTTAAATTGCTTCATCCATGTATTTTTACCAGTTGTATAATTTTCACCAATCACAATGTTTTTTTTTTTCCTTTTTTGAAAATGGCAAGGAAACCCCCTCTAACCCATCCCTCCACCCCTGTGAGAACTACATGAGCTGAATGTGATCCGTGCCACTTGTCTGAGCCCAAGGAGCCTAAGAAATCTGTCCAGACTGAGCTGTACCAGCCTGACCTGCTCTGTCCTCAGTGGGGAGAGAAGTGAGACCTTGAGGGTCTTTCGACTCCAGGGAGACCCTGCGGGGCAGGGCAACAGAGTAGCAACCCTGCTCAGTCCAGCTGGGGCCAGGTCTACTCAGGGCTAGGTGAAGAAGGCAGAGAGAACACAGACTCCTTAAGGCCCCTGCTGGGTTCTCAATTTCTGCATTCCTCCCAGCAGCAAACTTCCTGTTCCCTGACAAGCAATCCCAGGATGAGCTCACGCCTGTTCTGGAAGAGATGGGAGACAGAAAGGAGGTGCCCTGGGGCAGCACCATCTCTGAACCCTCCCTACCACACACACACACACACACACGAAAAATAGAAAGCCCCCTCCACACCTCCTTGTCCCTGGGATGGAGTCCTGACTAGGTGACACTGAAAGTCATAAACTTTGTGGGGCCTCCTCCTTTATACCACCACCAGGAAGGGATAGGGAGGCAAAGGCACAATACGAGGTACTCAGCAGGCCCGGGCTATCCCACACCAAGCGGAGCACTTCCCTTCCACTCCCTCCACGCTACTCCCTCCGCCCTGCCTGGCCGCAAGGACTCACCGGTTCTCAGCCACCAGGATCTGCTCCAGCAAGCGCGCCGCCTGCACGCGTGTCTCCAGCTCCGATGCCTGCAGCAGCCGCAACAGCAGGTCGAGGCCGCCATCCAGGCGGATGGCATCGCACAGACCCTGGGCCACCTCGCGACCCACGGTCGGCAATAACCAGGCCTCCTCCACTAGCTGAAAAACCTCGGCCAGGCCAGCGCCCACCGCCCTTGCGCTGCCGGCCTGCTTCAGCTCTGACAGCGCCTGCTGCAGCTCGGGCAGTGCGCGCTCCAGGGCGCCCTGCACTTCGGCGCCCACCCCAGGCGACACCTCCCGGGGCCTGTGGCCGCCCGCTGCCCACCACGGGCTGGCGCCGAAGCCCACCTCGGGCTCGGGCACCGCCAGCCGCTCGGCTGCTGGCCGTGGACTTGACATGGCGAAAAAACGGCACAGCTTGTAAGCCGAGAGGAGCAGCGTCAGGACCATGGGAGCTGGGCCACGGTGGACATCCCCGTCCGGGGAGCGGGGCGGAGCCTGGTGGGGCGCCCCGACCTTGGGAAAAAGGGGATCTAAAAGCGGACGGGGCGAGAGGTTGCACAACGGAGGAAGAGAGAGAGAGAAGGATACCACGCCAGGAAGCCCGCGGGAAGTTAGGGGGAGGGGACAGGTCAGGATCGGGGCGCAGCGTTTGGAGAATCGGATGTGTTTCCAGATGCAAGGACTGGATGGAAAGAGCTAGAAGATAGGCAAGGGGTAGACCCGGGACGCTAAGGCGGCTGCGGCTGCGGCCAGAACAAAGCGCGTCTCCCGCTGGCTCCCGGATGCTCTGCAGCAGCCACACCCCTGAACACCCGCGACCCGGAGCTGGGCTCCGCCTCTACCGCCTGCGTAGCCCCACCCCAGTCACGTCCACTCCAGCCTTCTCCAGCCACGTCCACTCCCTGGCCCGCCCTCTTGGCCCGAAGGGTAGCACTCTCTACCCGCGCAGAACCAGAGGGAAGCAGGTTGAGGGTGATGTGGGAGCATCGCTGCCCAGTGCCCTCCTCCTCTCCCGATAACGATTTTGTTGCAACTCTAAAGGCCCTTTTTCATCGGTTTCAACCTTACCTCTAGGTAGGGTTTCACAGCCCAGATGATCGAGTCCAGTAGTGAATGGCCCAAGTGACACGTCCCTCTGATGATAGCACAGGACAAAGTCACTGAAGAAAGAGTCATTTCCACCAGATGGTGAGAGAATTTCAGAGGGCCTGCAGATGCCTGAAACTGCCCAACATCAGCTGTTGGGTGTTATTTTATGAGGCTGCTCTGTGCAGGAATCGGCTGGCCAGGATGGGTACATTAGTGCAACGCTTGGGTCAAGTTGGTTCAGTGGGTGGGCATTCACTCAGTGTCCCCTGCTGTGAAGACCAAATTAGGGAGATCTGTCACATACAGGGAAATGATAGCTTGTTGTCTTCACTTGATCTTAGCCAAAAGGCTGAGAAGCGATAGCTTGTCTTATGAGAAGAGTTTCAGGCAGGTGTAAGGCAGAGGTGAGGGGCTGCCCTGGTGCTTGGAGCCCTTTGTGAAGGGCTAGATCCAAGTCCCCACTGGTTTCCCATGTCGGCAGCCTGCTCCTGTGTGTCTGGGGAGGCAGCAGGTGATAGCTCTATAGGTTGGGGCCCTGCCACCCGTGTGGGAGACCTAGGTTGAGTTCTGGGCTCCTGGCGACAGCCTGGCAGGCACAGCCCTGGCTGTTGCAGGCATTTGGAGGAGTGACCGAGCAGATGGAATTACCTGTCTTGTCATGACTTTCTCTTTCAAATAAGTAAAACTAAATACTAAATTTTTTTTATTGTGAAGTCAGATTTTACAGAGAGAAAAAAAAAGTTTTCCATCTGCTAATTCACTCCCCAAGTGGCCACAATGACCAGAGCTGAGCTGATCCAAAGCCAGGAACCAGGATCTTCTTCTGGATCTCCATGTGGGAACAGGGTCCCAAGGCACCTATATGGGGATCCTGGTGCATGCAAGGTGAGGATTTTGCCACTAGGCTACTGTGCTGGGCCCAATACTAAAATTTTGAAAGATAAGAAAAGCCCCCCTGCCCTCAAGTGCTTACCATCTTTTCTCACCCTGCCTCTCACTGCCCTAAGTACACACTGGGTGAATGAGCACCCAGCCAGGGCTGTGTCTTATCAAGCAAATCATGAATCAATAACCCTTTGTGGGACTTACCTTTGAAGCTGCTCCAGGCGCCATTTTGTCTATTCTAGCTTATGCAATCCTCAGCATGGTACAAGGCAGGGTCTTGCAAGACCCACTTTATTGAAAAGAAACCCAAGACTCATAGAGAAGAAACAGTCACCCTAAGAGGCCTCACTGGCCCTCTTTCTACCCGCTAGACCTACCACACTGCTCCCCCACCTCACGGCTTGGCGACCCATGCTTGGCAAGGGTTCTATTTCCCAGCTCTCCCAGGCCTAGGGTGCTGGGAAGGTGACCCTTCGCTGCAGTGGCCTCTGGAGTCCAGGAAATGGACTGGGATGGGGCTGGGAGTTGAGCAAACAGAGCAGCAGAATGGGCGGCTCTGCTTCTCCAGCTCCACCCTAGCCCTGCCCTTCCCTCCTCCCTGCCTTCCTCAAGCCACATCAGCGCTGCGACCCCAGGAGGAGCTCAGAACCGTGGAAGCCAGGCCCTCAGCCAGAGGCTCCGTCCGCCATGGCACCCCTGAGGCCCTTGCTCATGCTGGCTCTGCTGGCATGGGTTGTTGTGGCTGACCAAGGTATTGGAGGGTGTTGGGCACGGGGTGTTGGGTGGGTGGGCATGGGGCTGGGGCCAGGGTGGAGTGGGGAGTGTTTTGGCGGTGCCAGCTGACACCGCTTCCCCGCAGAGTCCTGCAAGGGCCGCTGTACAGAGGGCTTTAACGCTGACCGGAAGTGTCAGTGCGATGAACTCTGCTCCTACTACCAGAGCTGCTGCGCTGACTACAAGACTGAGTGCAAGCCACAAGGTGCGTGGAACCTGGGGCTGGGATGGGGAGTGGGGCTGGGGTCCTCTGTACGGTTGGAGACCTGACCCACCCTGTCGGCTTGCAGTAACCCGTGGAGATGTGTTCACTATGCCGGAAGATGACTACATTTATGAGTTTATCAAGGAGACCAAAGACAATGCCAGCTTGAATGCACAGCCCCAGAGCCCCAGAGTGGACCAGAACTCCTCCCTGACCCCTACCTCGCAGATGGAGCAAGGCCCTGTTTTCAACCCTGAGACAGAGGCTGCCCCACTCAAGGAGACTCAAATGCCAGAGGGGGGAACCTCAGGGCTGGAGGCGACTGACCTGAGTCCACAAATCACGGATCAGGGGATGTTACTAGCAGAGGAGGAGCTGTGCAGCGGCAAGCCCTTTGATGCCTTCACCGACCTCAAGAACGGTTCCCTCTTTGCTTTCCGAGGTGACCCAAGGGGCTGGGCTTGGCAGTAGGGCATCTGTCCCAGGGGTATCTCCTCCCTCACGTAGTAACCCCTTTCTGCCCCGACTCTAGGACAGTACTGTTATGAGTTGGATGAAACAGCAGTGAGGCCCGGGTACCCCAAGCTCATCCGAGACGTCTGGGGCATTGAGGGCCCCATCGATGCTGCCTTCACACGCATCAACTGTCAGGGGAAGACATACCTCTTCAAGGTGCCTAGTCTGGGGTGTGCGTTAGGGTCTTGGAAGGGTTGACTGCTGGTGCGTCCAGGTTAGAAGGCTAGATCACAGGTCCTGTGGGGCTGGGCTGGGACTCTGTTCCAACAGGGCTAGGGGAGGCTATAGGTTCTTGGCAGCAAACCTGCAGCAAAGGGTTGTGCCCAGGCAGTCCCTTCCTCATGCCCTTTCACTTGCCTGTCACATAGGGTAGTCAGTACTGGCGCTTCGAGGATGGAGTCCTGGACCCTGACTATCCTCGCAACATCGCTGAAGGCTTTGATGGCATCCCAAATGATGTGGATGCAGCCTTTGCCCTCCCTGCCCACAGCTTCAGCGGCCGAGAGCGGGTCTACTTCTTCAAGGGTACTTGGTGGGGGTGGGAGAGAGGAACACCTGGGCAGTGCCGCTCCCTGGGGAACCGGCCTCAGTGGGTGTTCAGCCTCACACCAGGAGCCCCTTCCTGACGCCCATCATCCTGCCCCCAGGGAAGAAGTACTGGGAGTACCAGTTCCAGCAGCAGCCCAGCCAGGAGGAGTGTGAGGGCATCTCCCGGTCGGCTGTGTTTGAGCACTTTGCCCTGATGCACCGGGACATCTGGACAGATCTCTTCAAGCTTCTCTTCTGGGGGGAAACGTCTGGTACAGAGCAGGGAGCAGGTCTCCCTTCCATCTCAGCAGGGCTGGGACCCCCTAGGGAGGGTGAGGGCTGGTTGGCTGGCTGGTTGGCTGGCCAGCTGGAGAGGACTGTGACTGTGGGTTTATTGATCAGGAGCTGTTTGCTTGGGTCAGACTTTGCTTCTGTTGACCTTTGTGGGAAAAGCCTGGCTCTGCCCGGACCCCACACCTTGGACTTTGCCTAGCCCAGCCAGCAGAGGGAGGGGCTGTGATTGAGGGTCTGGACCTTCAGGAATCTACTGTGCCTTGTCCAAGAAAAAAAGGTGACAGAGGCCAGCACCCGGGCCTGTGGCTCCCTACTCTTTCCCCTACTCTACTTTTACCAGACACCTGGCATCTGCACCCTATACCAGAAGCCACAGGCCCGGGTGCTGTGCTCTGCCACCTTTTTTTCTTGGACAAGGCACAGTAGATGACTAAGGTCCTGCTGGAGGGGGCAGGTCCTAGGCCCCTAAAATCTGCCCTCCCCCATTAACTCCTTCCCTGTCACAGGTGGTACCAGCCAGCCCCAGTTCATTAGCCGGGACTGGCATGGTGTGCCTGGGAAAGTGGATGCAGCCATGGCTGGCCGCATCTACATCTCGGGCTCGGCACCCAGCTCCAGCTGGGCCAAGAAGCAGAAGTCCAGGCGTCGCAGTCGCAAACGCTACCGTTCCCACCGTGGCCGCAGCCAGAGCTCTCGCAGGTCATCCCGGTCATCCTTTTGGGCTTTGCAGTCCTGGTTCTCCAGCGAGGAGACTGGCCTGGGACCTGACAACTATGATGAATATGAGATGAATAGTCGTGTGCCTGCCACCTGTGAGCCCATCCAGAGTGTCTACTTCTTTTCAGGAGGTGGGAACTGCTGTTGGTCTTGAGGCTGATTTAGCTTGGAGCTTCCCTGTTGCCTACCCCACAACCCCCTCTGGGGTCCCAATGAACTGAACACAGGGCTGCAGAGGTGTGACCCCATAAAGCCAGGCTGGGAGTCCCTAGTGCATTGTGGATGTCACCTTCTCTTCTGGGAGAAGACTCAGACCATCTTTCTCCAGGCATGACAGGTCTTAAATGCCTCCTTCCTTCTCTTGCAGACAAGTACTACCGGGTCAACCTGCGTACCCAGAAAGTGGACACTGCGGATCCTCCATATCCACGTTCCATCGCCCAGTACTGGCTGGGCTGCCCAGCCCCTGACAGCCTGTAGGAGTCAGGGCCTATCCTGCTGCACCCCCTGTGCACCCCAATAAAGGTCCTGTGGCCCTCAACTGGGAGACTATTGTTCTGACTGGGGTGGACAGATGGTGGTCTGCAGGGAGCAGGAGAAGCTGGGGTGCCAGGATGGCAGGCTGGGGGCATAGTACAGCCTTACTGCTTCCAGCCCATGCTGGGCTAAGCTTCCTCTGTGAGGTGGAAAAGCAGTGGGCTGGGGAGGTACTCAGGAGAGCTGAGCCCAGCAGCCCCAGCATTCCACCGGCAGCTAGACGGGACCTTGAAGGCCACGGATGACAACAGAAGGCACCGAGCCACCTGTCCCTGGGAGAGGTTTGCTTTGTCCCTTGAAGAGCTTAGAGTCTTGAGAGAGAGACAGAGGGCCAAGAGAGTGGTGGGGTTTTGGCTCAGCTTCTCTCTGCCCACTCTTAAATGAAAATCCAGGCTGAGCACCTGGGGAACCAAACCCTACTCTCCCCAAAACCTCCCCTGGGGGCCCGGCGCAATAGCATAATGGTTAAAGTCCTCGCCTTGAATGCACCGAGATCCCATATGGGTGCTGGTTCGAATCCCGGCAGCCCTGCTTCCCATCCAGCTCTCTGATTGTAGTCAAGGATGGCCCAAAGCCTTGGGACCCTGCACCTGTGTGGGAGACACGGAGGAAGCTCCTGGCTCCCGGTTTCAGATTGGCTCAGCTCCAACCATTGCGGCCACTTGGGGAGTGAACCATCGGGCAGAAGCTCTTCCTCTGTCTCTCCTCCTCTCTGTTATTCTGCCTTTCCAATAAAAATAAATAAATCTTCAAAACAAAACAAAACAAAACAACCTCCCCTAGCGTGGGCTTTTCTTTGAAGGCTCTGTTGAAGTCTAATTGGGAGCAGGCAGAGAAGAACAGAAGGAAGAGCAGGAAGAATGGCAGTTGAGGATGGCCCAAGGCCTCGGGACCCTGCACCTGTGTAAGAGACCCAGAAGAAGCTCCTGGCTCCTGGCTTTGGATCAGCTCAGCTCAGCTCTAGCCATGCAGCCACTTGGGGAGTGAACCAGTGGATGGAGGATCTTTCTGTCTTTCCTTCTCTCTGTAAATCTGACTTTCCAACAACAACAAAAATAAATCTTTAAGAAAAGAAAAAGTGGCCCAGAAGACTCCCAAGGAAGAGAACAAATAAACCTCTTCTTTAAAGTTCCTCAGTTACACCTGTGTAAACTTCCCTTGTGTCCTGGGCTCCAGGAAGCCTGGTTTTTTCAGGGACCATGAAGGCTTAGCTAAGAGACAAAGCTCTCCAACAGCCTGGGGCCATCCAGTGGTAACAGGGTCTCAGCCCTGCTGAGATGAGAGCCTGTCCTGGAGCCCACTTCCTGCGGCCTGGTCATCCCACCCACCCCAGTCAGAGGTGGGACAAGACTCCATCCACTCCTCCCTGAGGGCAGCCCCAACCCTGGGGCTCCAGGGAAGCCTGGAGAAGTGGATCTCTCCAGTTTCCAGAAGGAACAGGCTTCAGGCACAGAGTGCCAAAGTTTGAGCTGAGAGGTGAAGGATCTGGGATCAACTTCCTCTGTGAAGCTGGCAGATTTTGCCCTACCCCTGCCTCCTCCTCAAACACCAGCTGCCTCTCCCAACCTGAACTCCAAGCCTCCTCCCCCTGGAGGCGGGGCCAGGCATCAGTAGGATAAAACACCCAGTGGGGGAGCCTGGTGTGGGCACAGCCTGGCGTGGCTTTCACATTCCTCTGTCTCTGCTGGTCCCATGGCCAGCCCTGTGGAGGCTCCTGTGACAGGTGAAATGGTGGGGGAAAAGAGTGGCCTGAGCATGATGGGGGGTGGTGGGTAGGCAGAAGGCTGGGGCTGCGGAGGGGGTGGTTCTAGCAGGGGTTTGAGGGCCTGTTCAGGTTTCTGAGGCTGGGAGGGAGGCTCTTGCTGGGACCTCTGGCTTTATTCACAGCAGGCCGTGCCAGCGGGTTGGGTCCTCCCCGCAGAAAGCGGACCACCTTCAGCCGAGGGCAGCTGCTGGAGCTGGAGCGTGTGTTCGCAGCATGGCCCTACCCGGACATCAGCACCCGGGAACACCTGGCCCAGGTCACTCACCTTCCTGAGGCCAAGATCCAGGTGAGCTGTCACCACTGCCACCAAACTAAGGGTCCTGTTAGATGGCCAACCTTGGCTTGACCCATAGCTCTTCTTTCTGGAAGTCCTGATTTCAGGCTCTGGCCTCTGTGGCTAGGGGGAAGGGAGGCAGTGACGAGAGCTGGAATAGACCCCTTCGTCTTCCCCACCAGGTGTGGTTCCAGAACCGCCGTGCCAAGCGAATCAAGGACAGGAAGCCAGGAGACTTTAGTCCCAGGCCCGAGTCCCCCCAGAGCTCCTACTTTCTTTCTGATACCCCCCTGCAGCCCAGTGAGCCCCAAACAGGGGGCCGGCCTCCTCCCATCACCAGCACAGCTGTGTGCACTCCCACATGCCTGCCCGCCTCCTGTGCAGCTCCTCTCTTGAGTCTGGGCCAGAGCTGGGCAGGGGCTAAGGTTGCAGCCCCAAGGGGACTGGTTGGGGCTTCAGTGGTTTGCCCTTCTTTGGAGTGTGCTACTCCTCAGACCTCACTAGGCAGCTTGTCCGACCTCATCTACGCCTCAGCCATTATCACCAACATGGACCATTCCTAACCTAAGGCCCAGCTTATTGCAAAGCTCCTATGGCTCAACTTGCCTCTCCTAGGGCTAAACGTAAGAGAAATGGCTCCTTCGCCCCCCTGCTTTTACATAGGAGGTTTAGATCAAGAATTCTCCCCTTCCTCACCTGCCTCCAGGCCAGCCCAGCTGCAAGCAGTGACGGGGGCCCAATTCCTGCTCCCTAGCACACTGCCCCTCCTGACCTCTATGCCTATTCTTAGTTCAAGGGACAGTCAGAAGGATGAGGCAGGGGACCATGTTTGCCAGCTCTCCTGTCAGATCTGGTCTTCAGTCCTAGCCCTCAATGCCAACTTCCAGTCTCTGAAGTAGGAGTCCTGTCTTCAGGCTATTACCCTACTACCGAGGGAGCTGGGAGACTGCTGAGGCTCCTCCCCTGCTGACCTCCTAGCCCCCTGAGCAAATGAGTCAGAACTATGGATCTGCAGAGGGAGTGACATCAACAAACACAGAACGAGCTTGGCATTTATGTTGCTCTAATTTTCACCGAGATGAGACTGTCCGTGTTCTGATGCGAGGCTGTGGAGACAACCTGACAGATTTGAGGTGAAGTGTGTATGGGGGAGGTAAGCAGCATTGGCTTTTGGTATCACTGTCATCTGTAATACCAACTAATCCCCAAATAAAACCCCATCTCTGCACCTTAATCTGGATTGTTGTGTGCTGTGAATGAACAGGGCAAGGGCTGTTTGCTTTAGAAATGTATCTCCATAATTTAATCCCTAAATAGGCCAGGTTCCACATGGACTCTGAATTACAGGGAACAGGGAGTTTCCTGGAGGGCTTAGGACCCTGCTGCTGGGCCATCTCTGAGGTGATGGGAGGTTGAGCTGGCACCTCCTGCACATTCTAAGTACTTCCCCTCCTGGGGCTGCTCTGCTCTGGAAGGAAAAGTATGGAGCTTGCAACTGCTTTGCACTGGGTTCAAACCCTGGCACTGCTACAGAACCATAGCATCTCTTGGATACTCTGTCTCAAAAGCAGGGATGGCAACATTTGCTTCCTTCCCTCGGGAACAAGAAACCATAGAGGAAAGGGCTCCTGCAGTACACTTTGTAAAATCCCAAAGAATGCTACTACCTTCTCTGTGCAGCGGGCCATGACAAACTTGGAGCCCCAAACTTCTCTGACCTCCTGTCAAGCACTTTGCTGGACAGACTGCACCTGAGAAAAGTGAGAAGGGTGAGAAGACAGAGGGGCGGAGGGTTAGCAGAGCTCACTCTTCTGTGCTAAGAACTGGTAGACAGGCCACCGGTTTCCTATTCCTAAATCCACCCTTGCAGGTGGAGCCCAGCTTGTGCAGCAGCCATTGGCTCCTTGTTACTCCCTACAGAGACTGGGTCTTGTACCTCATTAACCCAGAAGCTGGCACAGTGCCTGGGCCCCGAAGCAGTTTTCAATGCGTGCTCAGTGTCAACAGCCTGGGAACTGGGGCCAGGCATCCAAGGGAGAATCCATCCCAATGGCTGGCTGGCAGATGAAATGATCCTGCTTCAACCATTTGAAGTCCTTGGGTTAGACTCTTTTGGAGGAGGCCCACTTGTCTCCCGTTCAGATGTCTTCCAGTCTAGATCCAGATGGCTGGTGGATGTGCAAATACACCTGTGGTGACATCCTGTCACAGGGAATGAAGACACAAATACAGCCACGGAATCTCCACAAAGTCTGTGTAGGTTTTTTTTTTTTTTTTTTTTAACTTTTTTTCCCTTAAGATTTATTTATTTGAAGGTTACAATGGGAGCGGGAGACAGAGATCTTCCATCTGTTGGCTCACTCCCCAAATGGCATCAATGGCCATAGCAGGGCTGATTGGTCTGAAGCCAGGAGCCAAGAGCTTCTTCTAGGTCTCCTACATGGGTGACAGAGGCCCAAGGACTTGAGCCATCCTCTGCTGCTTGACAGGAGCATTAATAGGGAGTTTGATTGGAATTGAAGACTGGGACTCACACTGGCACCTATATGAGATGCCAGCACTGCAGAGGGCAGCTTTTGTTTGTTACACCACAATGCTGGTCCCTGGTGTAGCTTCTTCACCCAATCTTCTCATAGCTGACACCTCTCCCAACTGATAAAACTGGCAAACACCGTAGAGGAAAGAATCTACTGAGCTAATGAACACAATTCGTAAGAACAGAAAGAGCTTTGGAAAAAAAAGAAAAAAAGGGGGAGGTGTGTGCATAGGAGCACATACTCTGAACAGAAAGAGCTGCCGTTGGGTGCAGACCACTGATAACTATCACAGCCTTGGAAATCCCTGCTTTATCTTGTTTGTCACAGACTGGCAGTAAGAACATGCTGGACACAACAAATATGTATTGGATAAATAAAATAAATAAGGTTGATACATCTCTTTTCCTTATTAAGAGGCAGAAAGAGAAACAGATTGAAAACCAGAGTGCCCATCTATCTGTTGGTTGACTCCTACATGCTCAGGGTGGCAGGACCTAGCTTACCCGAAGCTGGGTGACAGACAAGCACCCAACCATTTCAGCCATAACTTGCTGACTTCCAGGGTCTACACTAGCTGGAAGCTGGAATCAAAGCTGGACCTTGGAGCTGAACCCAGGTACTCCAACATGAGGCATGGGCACCTTAAATGGTATCTTAACAACAGGGCCAAAAGCCTGTCCCGGACTACTATTATGTGTTCCATACAGATTCTATTGACACACCAACTCGTCTAAGTTTGCAGTAGCTTAAGAGGACATACAAACAGCAGGATAACATAGGGGGTCTTTGGTTCCATTAAACAGTGAAGAACCACAGAGCTGCCCATTTGCCTTTCCATTCTGTCTTCTGGAAAAAGGGCCTAAGATCATTTCCTTTTCCACAAGAGAGCTGCTTTGCTTCCAGCTCCATCAGTCTATCCCAACCCATCTTGCTGTGACTTGATGTCAGTGTTCTGATCAGCTCTTCTTCCAGCATAAACTGGGGACAACATATCCTTTCTGCTTCCTTGGAAGCGTCTGATCTCAAAATTACAGGTCTGCATCATATATGTGTGGGCCAGAGAAGGCGACAAGTTTAAGGCAGTATGGCTTCTGCCTGGGCAGGTCTGGATTCCATTTACTTCTGATGGAAAAACCCCAGTGCCCAGAATGACTGGAGAAGGTACTGACAGACCAGCTCTCTTGAAGATGTGGTGGGGCTTGGATCTTCTTTTTGGAAATTCACAGAAGACAGAACTTCCCGGAGAAATCACGTGTGGCCTGGCTTGGTCCCCTGACTTGATGGAACTAAGAACAAGGAGCCTGGCGGACTGGCTGAGGTCGTGATGGGCGGTCAGGAACCCCTGGGCGCCTTCTCCAGACTGTGACAATGAGGCACCAGTTATAGCTCTCCCAACTCGCCTTCCATGGCACGCACCATGACATACAGCTCAGCCAGCCCCACCACCGAGGCGACGATCAGGGCGGCCAACACCCGCTGGGGAGGAGAACGAGGGTTAGGGGACACATATAAGTACCCAGCTCTGCAGTTCCTGGTACCTCTAATAAAGAATCTCCAGCCCAGTTCTTAAGTTTGGGAAGGAGAAAACAGGATCCAACTTCTCTTAGAACTATGTCCTCCTGTCCATATGACTGCTGGAAGGCCCAAACGCTCCATGTGCTTATTACATAAACATATGTTCAACACCTCATCTGTGTGGGACAACTCCCCATGTGTTCTCCCCTTCCCTCTAATACCCTCACCTAGAGCACTTAGCTTCACCCCATGCCTACTTACCGAGGTCATTTCTGTGAAGATATACTGGCTTCCAAGGTAAGTGCAGACGAAGGCAGCTACCACCGTGACAATGAAGTTGAAGATGGTGATGATCAAAGCCTTCACTGGCCTCACTTTGGGGAAGAACCCAGAAGAGAAACCTTCAGGTCAGCATTTTCCAGGAGACTGTTATCATCTGGCTACCTCCCTCATCAACTGGGTTCTCCCTCAAACCACAAGTCTGAATGACTTTGACTCAACACCAGAATGCTGGGATGGGAAGGGGCACCATGACCCCATCCCAGGAAGAGGCGTTAGCGGCTTGGCTTCCTAGTACCTCACCTTGTTTTCCCAGGTCACTGAGAGTCCCACCATGTCTTGGATCCTAGGGGGAAACAAAGCAGATGATTCTTGAATGGAAGCAGCTTGAGGGCAGTACAGGCAACACTCATGGTTCAGTGTCGGCCCAACCTTCCCTCTTCCCTGACACATTCATCCTGTCTTTTCCACGGATTATTTCGTCCAAGGTCAGTGTCTCTTCTAGACCACAGAGCAAGAGGGGGAGGACACAGACCACAAGTGCCCATCCAATCCTGTCCTGCTCCAGGTCAAGCACAGGCCAGAGAGCAGTGAGAATCCTGGCAGTAGAAAGGTGCAAGGCTTAACCCCTTGTCCTCCATAGCCACCACCTAAGAGCCGACGCCCACCTCTATAGTGCATAAGAATTAGTCATCAAATTTGGAGGGAGGGGGGACATGTGACCCACAGGCTACATAAAGCCTACAGTATCATTTGGTTTGGTCCTGCCATGGCAACTGCAGGTGGGACTTGAAATTCCATAAACTTACGGCAGGCTAATTTTTTTTTTCTTTCAATTTTTTATGACTCAGTTTCTTAGATGCACAGATTTCCCCTTCTCCCTTCTCCCAATATTTTCCCCTGTACTGTAACAATAGTACAGTCCTTCAACAACAGTCACAAGTCCTACATTCTACTATTTAAGTGTACCATGATATTGCAGGTAATAGACAATGATAAAAGTCCATCATCCTACTGTGAAGCTATATTTAACAGCAGGCTAATTTTTAAGTTGATCATTTCAGAGGTTTCCCACCCTGAAAGTGAATGAGTGGAAGTTGTAGTTTACATGCTGTACAGAGCGCCTATGGTCTCTGAACAGTATTCACACCACATTTTCATATTGTTTTTTTTTTTTTCCCTCTGTGCCTCTTTCCAGCACAGGGTCCTTTTTCCACACACTTGTATTGAAGAGGGAGTTACCTGACAGGTGACATTGCGAGTGATCCGCTTATACTCCTCATTGGCTAGCTGTATCTTAATCTTTTCTAGCCGTGCAACCAGCTCTGGGTTCTGAAAGAAAAATCAAATGAGAATTACACTCTTAGTTTGCTGGAAATTGTATCATTACCCTTCGCTCCCAGGAGACTCATATACCAGTTATATCTCCATTACTTTGGGAACTATATATTTTTTTTTCCTGCAGGGGGATGAAATGATCTTAGTTTTCCAAGCTGTCAAATACAGAAGGCTATATGGTTCCTCCACCCCAGATACCCATAACAGAAAAGGCAAATTTTTGAACCCCAAAGTCAATTCCTATATTCCAAGTGTCACGAAGCAATTCAACTCCACCAACAGCCACCCTCACACCTATGTGCCTTACATACCCGTGGGGGCTTCACCACCTCTGGGAGGTAGATCTCGCTGCCTTCTAGAAGCTCATGAAGGTACAGTGTGCCATCTGAGAAGAAAAGGTTTGCCCAGACATAATGATGCGGAGAGCTGGAGCTGAAGGGTTATGCTCAAAGAGGGTGGCCCTCTCTACTAAAACAAACCAGTTACCTCCAGGATCGTGTTCAACAAAATCTACAAAAGTCCACCCAAGGACATCCTCGTGTTCCCCAGTCCACTTTAACTGTCAGCTCCCAACTGTCCTGCTCATGTTACAACCAAAGCATCGCTGTTTTTGCCTGTGGGTTAGTCATTTCATTGATGCCAGAGATCTGCAGCAAAGGTCCTAGTGATACTAGACAACCAGAGAGTCTTCCTCTAGTTCATCTAACATCCTTTCTAGTTCTTATAGGGGAAAAGTTTATCTTTTCTGGTGAGGCTATGCTAAGTAGAGCCGAGTATATGCCGGTGTGTTTTATGGCCTCTCCTCACAGCTACCTGAGGTAGAGAAAAGAAAAATTTGTCTGCAACAGAACTCAGACCCCAATCTCAGGCTGCATCTTTCAACACAACTTGCCTTATCCTATTTAAAAAAAATCAGATTTCAGTTAAGGTGGGAAGAAATCCAGATTCCTAAACTGCACAGACTGACTAGGCTACACTTGCTCTGACCGCGGAAAAACGCAAACAGGGAGATGCTGTTGTTACAACTTGGACTTCCTCAAGGGTCCAAGGATCCAACTGCCAAAGGTGTTTCTCAAGAAACCAGAAAATGAACAAAATCTGTCATCCACAAGGAATTGCCAGGAGAACTGAGAAGGGAGCGGGTCTGAGGTGATTCGTGTGTTGGCTGGCCGAGCGCTCCGCAGGTGGAAAACGACGGGGTGAAACGAGACCTCTGAAGGAGGGACACCTGGCAGCCAGGAAGCGCCCGGGGCTCACCCCTTTCTCTCAGGTGCTGGTGCAGATCCCGGAGCAGACGGAAGGGTATCAAGCATCGAGGGCTACCGGGACGATCAGCGCCCGCGTGCTTAGGACTGAGCACGGCCTCAAGCTCAGCCCGGAGCTTCCGGGGCAGCTTCTCCGGCTCCAGCTCTCCGCCGGGGCCCAAAGCGCACAGAAGCCGCTCGCCCGCAACCAAAGAAGACGCCATAGCTCGTCGACTCCACAGTCAGGTGACCTGCCCGACTCCCTCAGCAGCACTTCCGCCCGCCGTGCGCCGGAAGCCGCGGCGCGGCCGGGCGGAGGGCCCCGGGGGCGGGGCCGCGCGCGGGGCAGTGTGGGGCGGGGGCGGGACGTCGCCCGGCCGCGGCTCGGGCCCTGGGTCAGCAGCCACCGGGCTGGCGGGCGTCCGGGCGGGACATGGCGGGTTGTGCAGCCCGGCGGGCCCTGGCTGTGGGCACTCGTTGGTGGTCCCGGTCGTTGACGGGAGCCCGCGGGCCGAGGCCGTTCTGTGCGGCGCGGGGAGCAGGGGCCTTCCTTCCAGCGGCGACCACGACGGCGCGGAGGCATCTCTCGTCCCGGTGAGGGACCGAGCGAACGAAGGGACGCTGGGGCCGGGCCCGGAGCTCCCCGGGAACGTGTTTTCGGGCCAGCGAGGAGGCTTAAGGAAGCCGGGCCTGCGGACCGTGACAGGAGTTTGTCCTGGGAAAAGTGTCCTGAGTGGGGATCCGACCTGCGCTGCCTGGGTCCGTGCCAGGAGCCGGGGAGGGAGCGCGCGGCCCGCAGCGCTGGCCGCCCGGGCAGGGCTGGCTCTGAGGAGAACGGTCGCCCTCCTGCCTCCCCGGCCGTGGTCCCAAACAGAGAGCCTTCTAATCCAGTCCCAGGGGCTTCGAACTGGAGCTCCCAGCTTCCCCCTCCATTCCCCTCGCCCAGTCAGGTTTCCCTCAGAAAGATGCTAGGTGGGCTCTCGTGGGTCCACGGGAAGAGAGCAGCATGAGGCTATGAAGCCACGCGTGTTTGGGGATGGGACGGGCAAATCAGAGGGGGCCCCGGGGATCGTTGGTGATGAAGCACTAAGTTGACGCGTGCCAAGCACCGCGCCTGACGGTGCTGTGAGGGGCTGGGACACAGCCCCTGCCGGAGAGGCAGCTGACAGAGCTGACCTTCAGGGGCTGCAAGGAGATGCTGCTCCCTGGGAGCAGTGATAACTTTCTGCAGGTGAAGACCTTGTGTAAACTGATGTAAATCTGAGCAAAAAAGCAGTCTTGAGAGACTATAGGACTAAGAGTAATAATGGGAATAAGGCAGGAAATCTCTAGATAATTTAGCCTTTCAAGGGAGAGGTGTGGACTATTTATGTGGGAGAGGTGGACATGGAATTATGCTGAACGAATGTCTTGAGTACCTCTGATACACTAATCTCTGAGGGAAGCACTGGCTAATCAGGAAATTCCTAGGGGACCTGCGAGTCTATGATGGACATGTAACTGCGATGCATTTCTGGGATGGAGAGCTAAAATGCCGTGGGGGGTCAGGAGGGTGGATATGGGGTCCACCTAAGCAAAGAGTGAGGGCGTGATAAGAATGCTGAATGAAGACAGAAGAAAGTTGGGACTGGTGCTCTGGCTCAGCATGCTAATCCTCCACCTACAAGTGCCAGCATCCCTTATGGGTGCTAGTTTTTAGTTCCAGCTGTTCCACTTCTGATCCAGCTACCTGCTTACAATCTGGGAAAGCAGTGGAGGATGGTCCAAGTCCTTGGGCCCCTGCACCTACATGGGAGACCAGGAAGAGACTCCTGGCTGCTGGCGGCTTGCTTCTGGTCAGCTCAGCTGTAGTCGTTGTGGTCATTTGGGGAGTGAACCAGTGGATGAAAGACCTCTCTCGTCTCTCTGTAAATCTGCCATTCAAAAAAAAAAAAAAAAAGAAAGAAGAAGAAAGTGATGTGAGAGCAGTCACATTGAACACTGTGGGATGGGTCAGACTTTCCCCAGAGGGGCCCAGTGCTGGGCCTTAGGAAGGGCAGTAGGTAGCTCTTTGGTGTGGAGACTTGGCAGGGATGTGCAAAGCCTTTGCCAGCCCAGCAATCTCAACACTTCTCTGGTTTTTCAGTGCCCAAGTAGCTTTTTCCTAATGGACAAGTACCATCTTCTTTTCAGCTTCGTAGTTACTTGTTCTTTTTCTTCTTCCTCAGAAACCGACCAGAGGGCAAAGTGCTGGAAACAGTCGGTGTGTTTGAGGTGCCGAAACAGAATGGAAAATATGAGACTGGGCAGGTGAGTAGCAAGCTGTGTCATTCTCTTTTGTGGAGTTTTCTGCCTCCCAACAGAGGTAGACGTGATCACAGGCCTTGAATGGTATGGTTTTCTATCTTGGTGTGTGGTGGCTGACAGAATCCCAAGCTACATCTTAAAAAAAAAAAAAACTATATATCTGAGAGAGAGAGAGAGAAAACACTACGATAACTGACTCAGCTTCCCGGATGCTGGCAGGGGTGGGCTGGGGATGAAGCCAGGAGGAACCGAGGAGCTTCATCCAGGTTTCCCACGTGAGTGCCAAGAACCTAGTGATGGGAGCTGACCTGCTGCCTCTTGGGCCCGCCTGAGCAGGAGGCTGACGTCGGGAGCAGAGCCAAGAACTGAAGCCGGCTACTCCAGTGTGGGCTGTGGCTGTGTTAAAATCGCAAGGAGAGTTCTCCTGAGTTTGAAAGCATTTGTGTATCTATGGGCAGATTAGTGTGGTCTGAAGAGAAGCGAGGGGACTGGAGCTTCCTCTGACATAGTGGATGGTGGGGACCTTTAATGTTCTTTTCTCTGACTAATTAGAGTAGGGTGAGCTGTGGGTATGAGGCTCTGTTTCTATCAGTTTTGGTTTATGTCCACTGAAATAGATTTAGGGGCCCGGCGTGGTGGCCTGATGGCTAAAGTCCTTGCCGACATGGGAGACCCGGAAGAGCTCTTTGCTCCTGGCTTCGGACTGGCGCAGCACTGGCTGTTGTGGTCACTTGGGGAGTGAATCATTGGAATGAAGATCTTCATCTCTGTCTCTCTTCCTCTCTGTATATCTGACTTTTCAATAAAAATAAATAAATCTTTAAAAATATATATATATATGTATTTAGGATCTTATGTAAGACAGACTTTTTTTCAGTAGTTCAGTAGTTTCTTCTTTTTTAATTGGAAAGTTACATTTGTAAAGAGACAGAGATCTTCCATCCACTGGTTCACTCCCAAAATGGTTGCAATGATCAGAGTTGAGCCAGCCTGAAGCCAGGAGCCAGGAGCTTCTTCTGGGTCCCCATGCAGTTGCAGGGTCCCAAGGCTTTGGGCCGTCCTGGACTGCTTTCCCAGGCCGCAAGCAGGGAGCTGGATGGGAAATGCAGCAGCTGGGTCACGAACAAGTGCCCATATGGGATCCTGGTATGTGGAAGTGGACGATTTGCATATTGAGCCATTGCACCAAGCCCCCGTGTTTGTGTTTATATGCCTAAAATGGACCAGGCCTTGGACTTAAATCACAGAGTGCAGTGCATGTGGCTCCTGCCTTCCCATTGTTGAGAAAGGAATGAATGATGTGCAGGTGGCTGCTGGCCTGCGTTGTGCTGACGGGGAAGAGAGGGAAGGCTCCCTGTGGGCTCACGCTGAGCACTGCAGGGTGGGTGCAGTCAGATGGGTGAAGAGCCCGAGAGTGTTCCAGAGTTGATATGGCTCGCTCACAGCGTGGTGGGGCCATATGCTGGAGGGGCTGCTTCCTGGACTGCTTTGTGGTTCGGCCCCACTGCATGGATTTGCTGAGCTGTGGGCTCACTGAGGCATCCCTCTCCTCCCAGCTTTTCCTTCACAGTGTTTTTGGCTACCGAGGAGTCGTCCTGTTTCCCTGGCAGGCCCGACTCTATGACCGCGATGTGGCTTCTGCAGCTCCAGAAAAGTAAGTTTCCTTGTCATTGTGTCTCAGGGCCTTCGCAGGAGGCCTGTTGCGTGGTACATATCTGTAACCAGGGTCTTGGGGGAGAAGACATTGTCCTTGTGGGCTGTATAGACAGCCGCACAGTGCTTCTCTGGCACTAACGCCTGTAAAGACAGATGTTCTGAGTGCCAGAACCGTCTTAATGCAAGAAGGGTCCTTTCAAACCCCCAGAGCATGCTTGCTTTTTTCCTGAAGATTTATGTATTTTTATTTGAAAGGCAGAGTTACAGAGAGAAAGAGAGCTTCTACTTGTTGGTTCATTCCCTAAATGGCTGCAACAGCTGGAGCTGGGTTGATCCAAAGCTGGAAGCTTTTTATTTATTTATTTATTTTAAAATTAATTACATTGCATTATGTGACACAGTTTCATAGGCTCTGGGATTCCCCCAACCCCTCCCGGTGCCCTCCACCCATGGTGGATTCCTCCACCTTGTTGCTGTATTACATTTCAAATTCAGTCAAGATTCTTTCATTGCAAGTGTATACCAAGCATAGAGTCCAGCATCTTATTGTCCAGATAAATTCAACGGTTTCCTGGGGAGACCATCTCTGGTCTGAAGGCAGAGCTGGCAAAATATCATCCCGATCAATTAAAAGCCACAACATAACATCAACAACAATCTACAACATTACGGAATTAATTGACATGGTATTGAGTAATCAATATGTTTAAAAAAAATGCAAGTTCTTAACCACATCCTGTGACTACTTCATTGACATTTCAATTTTAGTTTATATACTACTGCAAAGCTGGAAGCTTCTTTTGGGTCTCCCATGTGGGTGTAGAGTCCCAAGGATTTGGGCCATCTTCTGCTGCATTCACAGGCATGTTAGCAGGGAGCTGGATTGGAAGTGGAGCATCTGGGACTTGAACCAGCACCCATATGTGATGCTGGTGCTGCAGATGGAATATTAACCCATTATGCCATGGTGTCGGCACTGAACACTCTTGTGAGCTACCCTTGATTTTCATTGTCGGTAGCTCAAAGACACCTCGGAGGCCAGTTGCTTTGATTTCTTGGTGTTCAGTGGAGTCTTCTACTTTCACATCACCACTAGGAGATATATATTACATACATACATTCATTTAAAGATTTATTTATTTTTATTGGAAAGGCAGATATACAAGAGGAGGAGAGACAGAGAGGAAGATCTTCTGTCTGATGATTCACTCCCCAAGCAGCCGCAATGGCTGGAGCTAAGCCAATCTGAAGCCAGGAGCCAGGAGCTCTTCTGGGTCTTCCACTCAGGTGCAGGGTCCCAAGGTTTTGGGCCGTCCTTGACTGCTTTTTCAGGCCACAAGCAGGGGGCTGGATGGGAAGTGGAGCTGCCGGGATTAGAACCCGTGCCCATATGGGATCCTGGCGCACTCAAGAGGACTTTAGCCGCTAGGTCACTGTGCCAGGCCCGCCACTAGGATATATTACAAAAGCAAAGGGCCAACGCCTGGGGTGTGAGAAGAGTAGGCTGCTATGGGCCCTGGGGACTGACTCGCAAGGTGGGTTCTCCCAGCATGGCCTGCTTCTTCCAGGTGGCATCGGAGAGGAAGACGAAAGATGATATTGTGCTGTGGGTCCTCCAGGCTGCACTGTGTGTTGTTGACGGGAGCAGTTGGGCTTGGGTGTGGCGGGCAGGTGCTGTAGCCTCTCAGCCCAGAGGCCTGTTGAGGCGAGGAGGTGGGAGGAAGTGTGGTAGGTACAGCTTCCATTTCACTCCAGCTGATCTTGATTATCCTGTCCCACCCCACAGAGCAGAGAACCCCGCTGGCCATGGCTCTAAGGAGGTGAAAGGCAAAACCCATACTTACTACCAGGTGCTGATTGACGCCCGTGACTGTCCACATATAGTAAGTAAGCAAGTGGGCTGGCCTGCAGGTTCTGGGACAAGCCTGCACCCCTATGGGAGCAAAGTGAGTCAGGGTGGGCAAATACATCCCAGATCTGCCTTGGCGCCAAAGCATCAGGATGGGTCACTGTTCATGAAAGCTTTTAATCAAGTTTCTTGCCTTAGTCCCAGAGATCTCAGACAGAAGCTGTGACTTTCTTGGCTAACCATGACGACAGCCGGGCCCTCTATGCTATCCCTGGTGAGTAGAGTTTCTGACTGGTGTCTGTGATGGAGGGGAGGCTAATGTGCGGTCACCTGCTGGGCGGGGTCTTGGTACCAGCAGTCCTGTCCCTCTCCTGTCTGCCAGGCCTGGACTATGTCAGTCACGAGGACATCCTCCCCTACACCTCCACCGACCAGGTTCCCATCCAACACGAGCTCTTTGAAAGGTTTCTCCTGTATGACCAGACTAAAGGTAATTTCTCAGACAGGGAAGTTGAAATGGGGCCAGCCGCAGGGGGAGCATGGCATGGAGAGGTTCCCAGAGCTCTGTTTTCATAACCCTTTCAGCGTCCTGCTGGGCCTGCCAGGGAAGTGGCAGTTACATCCTTGTTGATCTGGATGTAGAGGCAGCGCCCGTGTCTTGCACATAGGGCGCCGAGGCTCAGGCTGATGAGGAGTGACTCACAAGGGCTGTCTAGCAGCACGAGGTCTGCTTTTCCAGTTAGCTTCCACCATCTGCTCCTGCTCAGGGCCAGCTCGGCGCCGGCTCTGTGCCTCTTCCCCGCAGTTCTCTTGCTTCACTGCTGTGTCCTGCTCACCTCTGTACCTTCAGAAGGACTTCCTGGGAGGTGCAGTTGGAGAGTGGGTACGATGCCCTGGGATCTGGGTGTGCTCACCAGCTCCCTCTTGCCCCAGCACCCCCCTTTGTGGCTCGGGAGACACTGCGGGCCTGGCAAGAGAAGAACCACCCCTGGCTGGAGCTTTCTGACGTCCACCGGGAAACAACGGAGAATATCCGTGTCACGGTCATCCCCTTCTACATGGGCATGAGGGTATGCACCTGGTTTACGCCCTTTCCTGCAGTGTTAGACTCAGGTTTTATGGGCTGTTCCCGGTGGGGTCACTCTAAACGTGCACCTTGTCCTCTTAATTTGGCCCCCATGTGCTTCCTGTGTTAGGGGTGGGGGGTTGAGTAGCCTCTGGGCAGAGGCTGACAGAGCCGGAACCCCTGGGTCCCAGGAAGGAGTCTGGTACAGGAGGAATGTGTACAGAATGGCCACACGCTTATGATGATCAGTAACAGGCTGATCACATGTCCTCTACAGTAGCCACACCAGTGTGGAGCTGTGTCTTGCTTGGCTGCAAGCTAGGCTCTGGGGGTACATGTATGAATAAGTGCCATCCTGTCCTCCAGGTTGTCAGGGAGGCCTACCTAGAACGTGCAGAGAATTGCAGTAGGGAGACCTGAGAGAACATGGCCCCAGTGAGGAGGGCAGGGCCAGCCGGGACCCTGTAGCTGACTTCCGTTGACGTCCAGCTCTGTGGCAGTGGGAGGAGCAGAGTGGGGCCAGGAGGGATATCTTTCTGGGCTTGGGGAGCACATCTGGGTCATCTTCAACCTGATATTCACAGCTGGTTTGTTACTCAGCTGCTTGGAGTGCTTCTCTGTGGGACAGATGTTGATTGGAACAGGATTGTTTTGCCCCTTGGGACTTGACTTTGTGTTTTTTTTTTTTTTTTTCCCAGGAAGCTCAGAATTCCCACGTCTACTGGGTGAGTGTCTCCCTTGGGAGGAGAGAAGCCTGTTGCAGCCTGGGAATCAGCTGAGGAGCCAGGATATTCTCTGGGGTGGGAGGGTCGGGGGATGCTGGAGCCAGTGCAGTGCAGGAAGTAGTTGTTGTTGCCTTTTGCGATAGAATTTGGGGTGCAGCTGACTAGCCCAAGATTGTTCTTTTTCAAAATGAACTCTGTCTCCGCCATGCCCTGCAGTGGCGCTACTGCATCCGCCTGGAGAACCTCGACAGTGACGTGGTGCAGCTCCGGGAGCGGCACTGGAGGATATTCAGCCTCTCTGGCACCTTGGAAACAGTGCGAGGCCGAGGCGTGGTGGGCAGGGTGAGTGTCGCTGGGCAGGCCTGCAGCTTTGAGTGGGACTTCCTCCTCTCTGGTTACAGATGGAAGCTCACTTTGATATGTTGGGTGGGTTTGGGTTAGAGATGTTTCAGTTACCTTGTGGGATAGAGTCCTTACAACCCATTTCATAGATGGAAGATAGTAAGATTGAAAAGCCAAAGAACTAGCCTGTAACTAGTAGTGACAGGGCCTGGCTGGCTAGCTGGCTTTCTTTCTTTTCTTTCTTTCTTAATTAAGATCTATTGGGAAAGACAGATTTACAGAAGAAAATAGAGAGACAGAAAGATCTTTCATCCATTGGTTCACTCCCCAAATGGCCACAGTGGCCAGAGCTGAACCAATCCAAACTCAGGAGCCAGGAGATTCTTCCAAATCTCCCACACGGGTTCAGGATCCCAAGGCTTTGGGCTGTCCTCTACAAGAGAGGTGGATGGAAAGTGGGGCAGCCAGGACACAAACCGGCACCCATGTGGGATATTGGCAGTTACAAGGTGAGCTTTTAGCTACAGAACCAGCTCAGTGTCCTCAGACATTCAGTCTTGAGATTATCTTTCAGAGTCAGAATAAAAGGCCCAGGTCAGTGGCCCTGCTGTGTGAGTAGGTCCTGGCAGGTTATCCCCGTGGGGCGAGCATGCAGTCCTGGTGACATGGCTGTCAGTGTGTGGCTTCGGGGTAGAAAGGCCATGTCCCAAGGGCTTGGCCTACCCCATTTGCCTGCACCTTTACAGGAACCAGTGCTATCCAAAGAGCAGCCGGCATTCCAGTATAGCAGCCACGTCTCCCTGCAAGCTTCCAGTGGGCACATGTGGTGAGTGAGCTGTGCTGGTGGGGACGCCTCAGCTCCAGTCTGAAAGTGAGAGCTCATGTGTGCAGCGTTGGGTCAGGTGTTCATTGCTGTGTGGGACTTGCGCGATCACCAGGACTCCTTAGGATTTGTGGACTGAGGTCTGATGGTTTGATACTACACTGAGGTGTTCATGTAATTCCCCCTTCCCAGTGTTTCTCTCCTGAACTTGAGCATGCAGCTGGGTAGTTTTCAGCACTTTGTGTGCAAGGACCAGAATATGGGACAACTGCTTTTTCTGCTTAGGACCAAGGGAGGTGCTTGGGTCGCTGGGTCAGTCAGCCCGCCATGGGTTAGTCAGGAACACATAGGCCTCTTCGTGCTGTGGCTGTAGAGCTGAGGACTTGGGGGTACCCCTCAGCCCTGAACCCTACTTCTCTGACCCACAGGGGTACGTTCCGCTTTGAGAGACCTGATGGTTCCCATTTTGATGTCCGGATCCCACCCTTCTCCCTGGAAAGCAATAAAGATGAGAAGACACCACCCTCAGGCCTTCACTGGTAGGCCAACTGAGGCCGAGAGCCTGGCCCAGCTCACCAGAGGAACATGTCTCATCCCGCACTTGCTGCAGACTCTTCTCTCCTGGTTGCGGGCCACACTGAGTCTCTTAATCTTTTGCACCATTTGATCCTGGGGCCCTTTGGGGATGCAGTTGTTTTCTTTGGAAAACCCATGTAGGACTCCTCCAAGGCTGGCCTATTTATAAACCCTGTCTACACTGTGTTCCAGTAAACTTTCCACCATGGAACTATTGAGCTGCCACAGGACTGTAGGAGCTTCCTGGCCTGTCACAAGTTGTCTGGAACATTAAGTTTGGTCAATAAACCAGTGCACGCTTGGCCACCCTTGCGGTTTGTGCCCCTAGGGCCCAGGGCTGCCTCATGGCTCAGTGGAGGCTCTTGGTTCTTTTCCATGTTGCCCTTCCAGGGAGCTGTCCCCTCTGTGGGGTTGTGTCGGTTTCCTTGGCTGGTCAACTCCCAGGGGGCACTAGGAGCTGTCAGGGATGTGCTTGTTCTTCACCTCTGCAAGGACACAGGGAGACCAGCATCAGGGCCATACATTCAGCCTCTCTGGCATCTTGGAAACAGTGAGGCAAGTGTGCCATCCTTGGCTCTGACCACCCATAGGCCTCTCAGCCTCGCTGGGCCTGAGAGGAGTGCAGCCAGCCAGCGGGCTTCCGGAAGCAGTGTCTGTCCAGCATCCAGGCCAAAAACGTGGGAATTCAGCCAAGGACAGTGACTGAGCCAAGCTGCTGTCACATCTCCAAGAGCCAGAGAAGAATTGCGCTGCATTTTGTTCTGATTCTTAGAAGTCCTACTCTGCAGTGATTGTTAAAGAGATAGTTTTATTCTTGAAATTAAATTGGTTCTAGCCCTTGCTAGTGTTGTCCTCAATCCTCCACCAGGCGAGCCTGGGATGCAGAGCAACTGAGCTAGGTGGGTTCATGACCTAACCAGAACACGTGGTCTGCGATGAGCATAAATACACCAAGCCCACAGCAGCAAGCTGCTCACGCTCTCCCCTTGCTGAAAACATCACTCGGTACCACTGCGGTGCAACACAATTTTATTATAAAGTAGTGTTTACATTACCTATGCTGTTCAGAAAATCTTGAGTTATACGATAAAGATACTCCTGCCTGGAGCTGTGCTGGCCTTTAGGCAGGCTGGGGTCACATCCCACATTCAGTAAAACCTGGTCCTGGTCTGCATTAATTGCAGATGTCCAGTTTCCTCAGAAACACACAAGCTGTGGCCTGTGTCTGTACTTTTAGGGCCACTTCCCCCTCGGCTGTTTGAAGCTTGAAAATGTACACAGCCAAAGCTCCTTCCTGAATGCGGTTGGGAACCCTTCAGGGCAAATTTCCCAAGACCCTGGTTAAAGAAGCTAAGATCACATCATTGAGTTCAATGTTAGTATTTTCCTTAAGACCAAACAGGTATTTTCAGTGGGAGAAATGCCAGTCCCCGCACTAGTGTTTTCTAGGGAAGAAATTTAGTCACCAGCGAGACGGCTGAGCACCTCAATGTTAGCAGTGAGTGGAGGCTGCAGGAGACCAGTGGTCAAAGGAAAGGCGTGAAAAGATCTCTGGGGAAGGCGGCTTCATGAGGGCAGCTGAGACAACAGGCCAGTGGCCTCCAGTCCTTGTGGGCAAAGCCTGAATTTGGGTAAAGAAATGGCTTTGTCCCCTGGCTCTAGCTGAGGACTGGAAGAACTCCCCTATCACAGCAGGTGACTTCAGGAGTCTCAGAGCTGCTTGTATGTTCTGTTCTATCTAACATGCAAAATGCCTGACCCAAGTCACAGTTGCCCTGCTCCATCCTGTCATTTGCCTGTAGCTTTCTCCTTGGAGTCAACTGTGAGCAGCCACGTCAGTGAGCCATAGTAATCAAGAGGATGAATTTGACAACCTGCACTTCCGCAGGGGTGAGGGGACTGTTGCCAGCTGTGCTGTGAGGCTGGCAGAAGCGCCCTCCTCAGCGGCATTCCTTCACAGAGGAATTCAGATAAGCTGCTTCTCCAGGGCCAAGTCAAACAGAACAAGGGAGAACTCAAGCTTGGAAGAGGAGCTTGCCCTCCAGCTGGCGCTTCACCCCTCTAGTTAAACTACCCAAGATGGGTAGGTGGCATCCAAGGTGTTCGGGCCGCTTCCCTCATCTTGGGTCCAGAGACTAACCCCTGGGCAGAATCGCTGTCCCCAGCTGGGACACAGAACAGTAGCACGGCTGTGGGGAGAGTGGGTGGCTGGCCAAGCACAAGGCTGTGGGATAAGGGCTGCTGGTCGGTCCTTAGCTGGCAGGCTTGCAAGCCAGCGCCCACATGCTTCAGGCCTTCCTGCTGTCCCTGTGATGGCACTTGGCTTTACCCTGTGAGGACAGCATGTCCTGGAGCTGATGGCACCCAAGGGTGAGAGAATCACAAAGAGCAATCAGGAGTGACTGTCACAGGCATGTGACAGGGAATACGCCTTCCGTCACAGGGCAGCTGTGACCACAGGGCCCTGCCATGTGTCTGTGGGCCAGGCTGGCCAAGCCACAGCCGCTCAAATCTGCTTTATTGCCTCTGAATGTCGCCCTGGGCAGGCTGTGCAGGGAAGAAGGGGTCAGGGCAGAATGTCAGTCTCCTGAATAACAGAACAAAGTGCGTCAGAGACCAGCCCGAAGGCATCAAGAGGGCCACGGCTCTGGCTTAGGTGAGGTCTTGGCACCCTGGAAGGTCACAAATGCCCAGTCCTTGGCTGCTAGATATAGAATTAGGCATTTCCTAGTTCTTTTTTTTAAAAAACCAAGCTCATCAAGCCTGTGTTTAGATGCCTTAGGGAAAAAGGAGCCCCCCCTTCTGTTAGGGAAATGGGGTCCCCACAGCACCAGAAGCTGCCTGTCCCCTGGCATGACCCGACTCCCTAGAGTCCTGCAACAGAGCAAAGGGGTACTCAGTGGGGCACCGCGGGCTATGTCCTTAGCAGGTGGGGAGCAGGGTGTCCTTCCCAGAGTATAAGTGGGGCAGGAAGACGCACGTGTTTAAAGTCCTTAGGGAAGAGGGCTAAGGGAGCCCCTCTGACCTCCCAGGCAGGGGCTGTCGTGGGTGCTGGAGCAGAGACCCAGCCAGCAGCAGTATGGCGGTGGGGTTCCCCAAAATGGGAGTGCCCTGATTCCCCAAGGTGCTTGTCAGTCACGATGGTTTGACTGGTGGCTGAGCTGCCGGTCGTCGTAAGTGCTATAGCGTTTGACGTGGATGCGGCGCACCCGGTCCCGTAGTTCAAAGGTCTCCTCGTCTTCACTCGGGGAAGCCTGGCTGCGGCTGCGGCTGGTGGCCTCCAGCAGGGAGTTGTCAGGGACTCGGGGGGTCTCGTAGAGTAGGACGTTGAGTGTCTCTTCATATATTCGAGCCTCCGGGAACTCCACCTAGGGTGAAGTGGTAAGAAAACGGAGGCTTGGCCTTGTGCTGGCTCCAGAAGGCCTTCCAACACTCAGGAGACAGGCACTGGGTCTCTAACAGAACTTTCCCACAGCCCAGCCTAATCCACCAGAGGGGCTGGTGTGCACGAAGGCTGGGTCTAGAACTTCCTGTAACCTGCAGGGTTAGCTGGCCAATAGCCTGTGGTCCTCAGCCATCAGGAACCCATGGTTCCCACTCCCTCCTCCCCACCACCATGGGGTCTTAGGGAAAGAGCCGATCAGGGCCCCTTGGCTGCACGCGGTGAAAGACTCAGCTGGCAGCACTGGTTGTCACTGCTGGCCTCCAGCCTGCCGACCACCCCCACTGGCCTCCAGCTGGCCGACCACCCCCACTGCCAGGCCGAGGGAGACCCCACACACCTTGGTCTGTTTCTTCTCTGTGGCGTATACGATGGAGGTGCAGCAAACCTCTGCCAGCTTGCGGCCCTGACCGTAGAAAGACCAACAGCAGATCTCGTCGCCAATGACATCCTTGATGAAGAGCACGCGGCCGTTGAAGCGCAGGGAGAGCTTGTCAAACAGCTCGATGTTTTTCAGCAGGTGGTCATCAGAGTTGCTGAAAAACCCGGGAGGGCCGGCAGGCCTGAGAGTGAGGTTTCAGCCAGGGGTAGGGGAAGCGAACACTGCTGGGCATGCTGGGCCCTCCCCATGCTCCCGTCAAGCCGAAATGAGCCACGTCAGGGTGTACGAGGGCAAGAAGAAGAAGGGTCACAAGGCACCCTCTGGATTTGAGGGCCTGTGAGGAAAATGAATGGAGCTGCTCTTGAGGTAAAGCAGAGAACTGAGGGAAGAATTTTCCCGTCCTTAAGCCCAGAATGAAAGTGATACCCTGCTATTTCAGTGGCAGGTGGTCATTCCTTGCTGGGGTGGCACTGGCACATGTGTGTCCTGCAACCACCTGGATATAGCTAACTGGGCTGTTAAAGGACAAGGGAACAAGGGACAGTGAGCCTGGGGGAAGGTCCAAAGGCTGCAGGAGGCTTAGGAGGCTCTAAGCTTCCCGGCCCCACTCTTCCACCTTGTGCCATGTTGCCCTGGTCATGGCCCAGCAGGGCCTGGTTGCAGGTCCCTCCTCTGTTCTCTGTTCCTGGCTCTCCCACTTCCTTCAACAGGTTCTGAGAGCTCCCAGCCCACAGTCAGTGCTAGGATTGCAGGCGGCACCCCAGGCGCCTTTAGCGACTTCTGTATCCCTGCTCCAGGCTCCGCAGCAGACGCCAGGCCTACCTGGTGTAGGAGTACTTGTTGTTGCTTCTGTTGTACAGCAGCTTCACCACGGGCTGTAAGGGAAGGGGGAGTGAGGCCTGGCCCGGTGCCTGGCATCCCCGCCGGCCACCCTCGGGGTCTCATTACCTTGGTGGATGACTCAATGAGCCTCTCCTCCTCCTTCAGAGATGTGATGACAGGGATGTTGCACACAGGCTCGTAGGAGTCCTTCTTGTCCTGGGTGAGGGACACACAGAGTGCAGAGCTTGTCAGCTGGAGCCGGGGCCCCCTCAACCCCTCTGCCATGGCCAGCCCTGGCTGGGTGAGGGGCATCAGACTGACATCACAAGGCCCACGGGAGATAGAAGCTGCCAGGCAGTAAGCAAGCCCATTTCCAGAAAGCCTGAAGTCCAGCTATCCAGGTAAGTAAACAGAAGCCAGGCCTGTTGGCATGACGGAGTGTGAGTCCCTGGGCCCAGGCACTCGCCTTGCCACACGTAACCAGTTTGGGACTCATCAGCTGTTTCTGCCACGCAGGCCACTGGGAGCTGGACCCTCGTGTCCCCGAGGGAGCGGCGTGGCCCGGGCTCAGCCAGCGCCTCCACCTCTGCCACGTACCTGCAGGGCTGTCTGGCACATGTTCACTAGCCCCTGAATGAGGTAATATTTCGCTTCAGCCATCAGTTCCTTGATTTCTTGCCGGTTCTGAGGGAGGGTGATGGTGTCATCGCGGAGGTAATTCAAAATGGTGCCGAAGTGCTTCCCGCATCGATCTATGAGGATCCAGCCTAGGGATGCAAATGCCCCCCAAGATCACCACTGGCTTCCAGGGACCCCCAAACAGGCACAGGCCACCTGGCAGGCTGGAGGCCAGCAGTGAGGAGAGGAACACGGAGCTCAGGGTGCTCAAGTCCCTTCCTCCCCCACTCCCTGAGTTCAAGAGCTGGCACAGCATCCAGCAGAGGGAGGCCCACAGAGGCCTCCACCAGCTACCCAGAAGCCACTGCTCCCTGGCCATTCCCTGTAGTGACTGGGGAGTGTCTGCAGGAACGTTTAGTCCTATTTTAAATACTTAAAAGGGATGGATCTTCTCCCTGAACAGCCTGCATTCTACAAATAATTTCCAAGAACTCAGAAGCCTTACCAGAGACTCCAGGTGAAAACGAGCAGCGAGTCTAGTTCTGTATGTGCCAGGCTTTTAGATCGAGTCCCACCCCGGAGCCGTCTCCCCAGGCCTGGCCCTGCACCTCACCTTCTTTGTCGGTCAGCACCTCCATGCGTCCACTGAACATGGCCTTGAGCATGGTGTCGTGCCGGGTGAGTGCCCGCACAGTGGTGTAGTACAGGGAGCCGCCCACGTTGAGCTGCACATACTTGTTGCCCAGCCCTCCTCCCTTGAAGCTGCTTAGCTTGGGCTTGGACCCGGAGGCTGGGCACAGACAGGTGTCCCCCGACATCTCCCGCTGCAGGTAGATCACCACACGGCAGGAGGTGGGCTTGGAAGACTCCGCCGTGGTGGACGTGGTCACAGGCGAGCAGCCAGTGGAGGCCTGAGCCTCATACTCTCCGTCCTGGGAGCGGGAGACAGGTGAGGACATGGAGGTTAGAACAGAGGCCTCAGACTGCGGGGGCCAACTGCAGGGCCCTGACCACGCTGCTCTCCCTGGCACAGCCTTACTGTGGGGGCGTGGGTAGACTTTCCTGCTGTGCTTTACAGCTCCAGGGCCCTCCCCACCACATCCCTCCAGGCTCCCTGGGCCTGAGGGACACCCCCACTCCGGATCTACCAGGCAGATTCTATTTATTCTCTTCTCAGGACCCCCAGGCTCCTCAGCCAGCCTGAGAGTTCTCCAGGAGCAGAGGCACCAGGTGCAAGTGTGGTCTGGGCCTGCGCTCACTGGGGGAAGTAACAGCAGCTTCAGGCTGAAGCAGCCCTTGGCAGGGGTCACCTGGCCCAAGTGGGCTTACTGACCGACCCTTTTCTTGGCATCAGCCATGCCCCAAGCTCCTAAAATTGCTGCCACTGGCCAGGGCTGGAGGCCAGACAACTACAGGCTGGCTGTTTTCACTTCTTTTTCCTAAGTGGAAGTCTAGCCCTATCCCTTCCTCTCTACCTTTCCAAAAAGAAGATAAAAAACAAAGAAACAAACAACAGAACATCTGATGACACAACTAAACGCACTTCAGGGCCTGGTGAGGTAGCCTAGTGGCTAAAGTGTGCCAGGATCCCATATGGGCGCCAGTTCTAATATCAGCAGCCCCGCTTTCCCATCCAGCTCCCTGCTTGTGGCCTGGGAAAGCAGTGGAGGACAGCCCAAAGCCTTGGGACCCTGCACCTGCGTGGGAGAGCTGGAAGTGGCTCCTGGCTTCGGACTGGCTTGGCTCCAGCCGTTGCGACCACTTGGGGAGTGAACCAACAGACAGAAGATCTTTTGTTTCTCCTTTTCTTTGTAAATCTGCCTTTCCAATAGGGATAGATCTTTTAAAAAAACACAGACAGACACAGTGATGTGTGAACGAGAACGCTGACGGAGCGCAGGGGAGGGGCACGGGAGCCAGACCGCCCCTATGGTGCAAATTCTACATGATGTTTCTGACTTCCTAGGAAACAAATCACTCAACTTCATTTACTAAAAACCTCACAGCTAACACTCAAGGCATGTTTCCTACGTGCCAGGAACGACACTAATCATTTAAAGTCTGTTGGCTCATTTAATTCATTCAGCAGTGAAACTACCGAGTGCCAACTCTGAAGCAGGAAGAAACCATGAAAAACACGGTCTTTGCTTTCAAGCAGTTCAAAGAAGCAGCTCAATGTTAACAAGAATCTAAAAGGAGGGTGAGGGTTGGCATTGAGGTGGCGTCCGTGTAAGGCCAAGGGAGGAACTAGGGGGTCTGGGTTTGATACTAACACAGCCCAGGGGTCCCCTGGAAGGTTCTAAGCAGGCGAGTGCTCTCATCTGACCTTTCTCTATTCTGAAGACCCCGCTGGCTGCGGTAGGGACGAACCGGGAGGGTGCAGATGAGCCGCGAGGACCCAGGGGGCAGTGGCTGATGGGGGGCTGGTCTCCTGCCATTCCTGTGTCACCTGGGCACAGCCCCCCAGCCAAGGGAGCAGCGTGGGTCAGAAGGCATGATGCGGTAGGGCCTAGAGGAGACCTCACCAGCAGTGTGCCCACACCCTGCCCTCTGCCACCGCCTCCACACCCACCAGCTGTCCCTCGACAGGAGGACGGGGTTCACATGTGCTTCCCAGGACCGAAGAAAGCACGCATGCATTTCTGCCACAGCAAAGGCACCAAAATGCCAAGGTTTGCCAGGAGAGGAAGTCGGACCACAGCTAATCTCTTCCTGCAAAGCTCCCGCTGACGTCAGCTCAGATTCCATTCAGACCAATGGGTTCCCGGAATCCCGCAGCAGGTGACGCCCCAGAAAGTAATTGCAGCGCCGATCAAGTTTCCACTCGGCTCTCTTCCTTCCGGATTGAGCGAATGGGCTCTGGGGGTGCCCGCAGCTAGGGGCGGGTCCGACCCACACATCCAGGCTAAGCACGACTCAGGGCCCGCAGCCGCCGCGGGGGAAGCGGCTGGGTTCCCAGGGAAGGGGGCCTAGAGCCCGCCGCGCGAGGGCCGCGGGGCGGGAGGGCACGGCGAGCTCCCCTCGCCCCGAGAGGCGGCCCGGGGAGAGCGGCGGGCAGCCCGCCAGCCCGCACCAGCTCTCCGTCTCCCCGGAGACGTGCCATCCCCTTCCCCAGCAGGACCCGGTTCTCACCGTCCCTGGGGGCGAGCGTACTCCGTCCGGCCCCGACCTGTGGCTGCCTGGCCGCCAGCGATCCGCAGCTGTGAGCTCACATCCTGCGCGGCCCGACTCCTCCCGGGGCAGCGGGCCGGCCCCTCCGGGGCAGGAGCCTGAGACTACACATCCCGGCATGCACAGGGCGCGGAGGCGGGGGTTGGGTAAGAGCGCGGCCACTTCCGGTAATCCTTGCTGGCGCAAAGGCCTCTGGGTCTTGTAGGCACTCATGCTTCCCTCGCGCCTCTGTGGTGCCCGGAAGTGACGTTGCTCACACGGGCCCGGTATCCGTGGCAGTGGCCGCGGTCGGCGTCGGCCCGGGGGGCAGCGCGCGGCGGCGAGGAGGACAGGTAGGCCGTGGGGGGCTCCCCTCTTCCGGGGTGCTGCGCCCCGTCAGGCCCGGCGCTGGCGGTGTCGTTACGGGGGTTCACCCGGGCCAGGCCGGCGCGCCGCCTCGTGGCCCCGCGGCCCCCAGCCCGGCCCCTCCGGCCCCCGAGTCGGTAAACCGCCGCTCCGGCCTGCCGGTCGGCCGCGCCAGGGCCGTGGGTTCGCGCCCAGCGCCAGGCCTGACAGCCGGCTGGAGAGACGGCTCCCGCTGCGCGCGGCCCTGACGGCCTCTGGCGTGAACACAAACAGATGTCCATGTACCTGCCCTTTTCTTCCTGAGTGATTTATTATTATTTTTTTTAAGATTTATTTTATTTTTATTGGAAAAGCAGATATACAGAGAGGAGGAGTGACACAGAAGATCTTCCGTCTGCTGGTTCACTCACCGTGCGAGACAACAAGGGCAGGAGCTGAGCCGATCTGAAGCCAGGAGCCAGCAGCTTCTTGCAGGTCCCCCCACACGGCATTATGTTTAGAGGCTAAGGATTAGCCAGTTGAGCCATTTCACCGGCCCCACTTCTGAGTGATTTAAAAAAATTATTTGAAGGATAGACAGTTAAATCTAACATCAGCTGGTCCCTAGATGAACACAACAACTAGGACTGGGCCAGGCCAAAGCCAGGAGCTTGGCGCTCCATTGGGGTCTCCCACGCAGGTACAGGGACCCAAAGATCTTGGCCGTCCTCGATTGCTTTCCCAGGCCACAAGCAGGGAGCTGCATGGCAAGTGGAGCTGCCAGGATTAGAACCGGCACCCATATGGGAAGCAGACATCACAAACCTTGGCTCAACTTGCTACGCTGCTGTGCTGGTCTGAGTGTCTTTCTAAAACCGTTGCGGCCTTCTGCCTGGAGTGCCCTGGCTGCCGCTCACCTCAGCACCGCATGTTTAGCTGCAGCTTTGGGGCACCATGATCCCTTTGTGGGATACTGCTCATCGCAGTGGATGGAGCTGCAGATACAGGCCTGCTCCAAGGGGAGGGGCAGCAGCCACAGCCGGAGTTGGCTCCTTCATGCCACGCCACCCTCTGGAGCTGCTGGTCTGACTCATCACCTTGTGATTACTAACTCCTGATTTGTTGTTAGGTGACAGCACACTCAGGCCTGGTGACAGATTGGTTATTGAAGTCTGATCGCAAGAAAGCTTTGGATAATGGAAGTGGTTCCAAAGGGGCAGGGCCCGGTGCAGTGACTGGGGGCAGCGGGGGATGGCTGAGTACGGGTATCGCCACGAGCCCTGGGGGAGATCTGGGTTGGGCTCTGGCACCTTGCTTCTGCCTGGCCCAGCCGTAGGGGTGGTGGGCTTTTGGGGAGTGAACCAGAAGCATGGAAAGTGTCTCTCCAGTTGTCTCTTTGTAAAAACAAAGAACTAAGTTTCTGAACAAAGATGCTGGCTTCCTTTAGGGTGTTCTAGTGAGCCCAGAAGCTGGGGGTGTGCAGGTGGCCCCTAGGCTGGTTAATCAGGTGTACAGTTCTAATCCTCTGGTCAGAGGTTCTGGCGACCTCTCCGCTGACCACTGCGCCTCCCGTGGGACACCTTGGGGTGGTTACTCCCAGCGTCACCCCCTTTCAGGGCAGGTGGAAGGGAGACGGGGAGGCTAAGGGAGGGCAGCACGGAGGGTTGGGGTGGGCATAGGGCCACTGTCCTAGTCCTCCAGTTTTAAACAGGGTCAGCCCTGTAATTGTTTCAAGCCAGCACGAGGGTGGACTTTCCTCCTGACCCATGAATGCAGGGTGCCCAGGAGGGAAGGCATATTTGGTGATCCTCTGCTATGTGTGAAAAAAAAACCACTCCAGCCTGTCGCTTGCCCATGAAGCTTGGTGGTCTGGTCTGGCTCCAGCCTCTCCTCTCCTCTCCTTTCCTCTAGGCAGCCTGGGCCTGGCGGGCTTGCTGTGCGCTCTCCTTGGTATGTTCTTGCTGACACTTCACTCATTCCTTTTTGCATTTTCTGTTAGAAAAAGTTCAGCCCAACTTTGGTTACCAATTCAGGCAAGTATATAGTATTCTGTAGTGCACCTTTTGCTAACATTCTCCTAATTTAAAAACTTTTTTAACCCCAGTTGTCTAGAAAATATTCATTTTTTCACTGGTTTGTTTACCAAAAGGCTGGTCTAGGCCAAAGCCATGAGCCCAGGATTTCACTGGGGTCTCCCATGTGGGCGCAGGGCCCCAAGCACGCGGGCCATCCTCTGCTGCCTTCCCAGGCACATCAGCAGGGAGCTGACGGGAAATGGAGCAGGCGGGATTTGAACCAGTGTTGCAATATGGGATGCTCAGCTTCCTGTGCCACAAAGCTGACCTCCACTCTAATTTATAATTCATATTTCTTGCTTCATTTGTTCTTGTGTGTTTTCAGTGTCTGTGTCCTCTGGAACACAGCTGGGGACATGTAAATAGGGCTGTCACTCGGACCCCATCTCCCTTGTGGTATTTCTGTAAAGCACCTAAGCCGGTACCCATGCTCAGTTCATGTGTGTGTCCTCCAGGGCAGGCACCATGTTGCATTCAGCTCTCTACCCCCAGCATCTAGCGATGTGGGCACGTAGTAGGCATTCGAGGTGTGTGTTGAGTGGACGATGCCCGTGACAAGCACCTGGACTTTATTCTTTCCTGACCCTTGCCCTGCGACACGCTTCCTACCGACTGCCGCTGTCACGCTTGCAAGTAGAGCTTCTCTAGGGGCTGTGGAAGGGAAGCAGGTGAGGCCGGGTGGCGTGGGCTGAGGGAGAGGTGAGCCTCTGGATTGCTGGGCTCCGTGGTGCTGACAGCTGGCGGGGCCTGAGACTGGTTTCTTTGCAGCTATGGCCAAGGATGTCCTGGGGGAGGCGGGGCTGCACTTCGACGAGCTCAACAAGCTGCGTGTGTTGGACCCGGAGGTTATGCAGCAGACCACAGAGCTCAAGGAGGAGTGCAAGGACTTCGTGAGCAGTGAGTAGCAGCGCCCAAGCCCTGGTGTCACACCTGTCTTCCCGCCTTCTTGTGCCAAGTCCCCCGTGCCTTGTCAAACCAGCTTGGGATGGGAGGGTGTTTCTGAGAAAGAGAATTGTCCCATCTGCTGGTGAATTCCCCAGAGGGCCAGGCCAAAGCCAGGAGCCTAGAACTCCCCTCAAGTTTCCCACGTGGTTGGCAGGGTCCAAGCATTTGGGCCATCTTCTGTTCTGTTGTGTTATCAGGGAGCTGGATGAGAAGTGCAGCAGCCAGGACTTGAACCAAGGCCAGAATGGAATACCACATCACAGGTGGTGACTGAACCCACTGTACAAGGCCGACCCCCCCTTATTTAAAGAAAATTTTAGCTGCAGGCCAGCACTTGTGGCCTAGTCAGTAAAGCTGCCACTGTGGCAACAGCATCTCATGTAGGCACTGGTTCAAGTCCTGGCTGTATCACTTCTGATCCATTTCCCTGTTATGTTAATGTGCCTGAGAAAGCAGTGGAAGATGGCCAAGTGCTTGGGGCCCTGGCAGACCTGGGAGAAGCTCTTAGCTTCAGACTAGCCCAGCCACAGCCATTGCAACCACTTGGGGAGTGAATCAGCTGATGGAAGATTATGTCTGTATGTCTTTGAAATACATAAAAATTTGAAAGGTAGAGCAAAAGAAAGGGGAAGAGATCTTCCATTACTTTTTACTCCTGGAACAGTTGCAATGGCCAGGTTTGAGACGGGCCAAAGCTAGGAACCTGGAACTCCTACGAGGGTGGCAGGGTGGGTCCCCATGCACCTGGGCTAAGCAGCAGCCCGGGAGGGTATTTGTAGATACACCATTTTTTGAGGTTATCTCCCCATCCCCCTGGAAACCATCAAGCAGAATCATGCATGGCTTGGTGGTAGCAAATGGAATTATACTCTTGGTATCTTGGAAGTTTTCACCTGCAGCTGTTAGAGGCTGTAACTGGAGTCTGGAAGCAGCCCGCTGACTGAAGTCCTGCTTGGCTTGGAATCTCTAGGAATCGTGTCCAGGCTGCCCATGTCACCAGGGCCAGAGACCTGCACCCTTTGGGGACCCTGTGAGCTGGAGTGCTTGGCTCGCAGCAGCTGGCTTGGGTTCTAGTATGAGTCTTCGTTCATGCTCTCCACTCCACTGAGGGAAGTAAACTGGAGATTCAATCTCTGGAGAATCTTCTGAAATCCTTTGCTGTCCCCGTGGCCAGACCGGAGGCGCTGTGCTGTCCTGAGGTCTTCCTGCAGCAGCCCTGTGCGGTCACGTGCAGGGAGGCAGGAGGGGGCATCCACTAGAGGCCTGGTGCCTTTGTAGCCTGAGGTGACAACTGGCTGGTTCAGTGGGGACTTAGGGTCTTAGTGTGTCCTAGCTGGTAGGCACAAAACTGTCCTTTAGCCAAGAAATGCTGAGGGGAAATGGTGATGCTGAGGAAGCATTTTATTTTTTGTTCTTTCTTCAAGAGATTGGCCAGTTTCAGAAAATAGTTGGTGGTCTAATTGAGCTAGTGGACCAACTTGCAAAGGAAGCTGAAAATGAGAAGATGAAGGTAGGTGAGCACGTCCCCACCCCTGCCTGCCCCGCGCTCTCCCCTGGCTCCTCGGGAAACGACGACTTGATGGCTCGTTTCTGGTCCAGCTGACCCACTGAACCGACAACACCAGCAGGCTCCGTCATTTCTTTTTCTTCATATTACCACTCTGATTTCCTGTAAATGAAGGCTGAGGGAAGCGCACCAGCAGACAGGCCAGGGGGCACTGTGTGCCTCTCCCCAAAGCTGTGGGGTTCCACTTTGCCTTTTTTCTTCCTCCTGCTCTGCTCCAGCTCCCCAAGGGCCTGCCCTGTTGATGCTGTTTGCTTCTCGTAGGCCATTGGCTCTCGGAACTTGCTCAAATCTATAGCAAAACAACGAGAAGCCCAACAGCAGCAACTTCAGGCTCTCATAGCAGAGAAGAAGATGCAGCTGGAGAGGTGAGAAGTCACGCTGCACACCGCGTTCTTCACCCACTTGTCCTGCTCACTGCTGTTGTTTTCCCAAAAACAGCATCTCACTTGTCATTCGCTAGGAAGGCCAGCAGCCTTTCAGCTCAGAGTGGGAAGCTGAGGCGGTAGGGCTGGCTGGTGGCTGGGGCCAGGTGGGATCGCTTTCTTAGGCTCAGGGCTTGCTTGTGGGGGCTTGCCCCGTTAGCTCTCGGGACCCCCGCATGCCTCACTTCTTGCTCCTCGCTGAGCGCTCCTGTCGCTGTCGTTTCAGGTACCGTGTTGAATACGAAGCTTTGTGTAAAGTAGAAGCAGAGCAAAATGAATTTATCGACCAATTTATTTTTCAGAAATGAGCTGAAGATTTCCCTTTTGTGGGACAAAGGTAAAAAGAAAAAAGTCTCCTAAACCAACAAAAACCTCCTCTGTCCCATTAGAGTGACTGGACCAGGTCCCGGGAGCCAGTGGCCCCGCAGGTGTGTGTTCACAACCCCTGCCATCCACCTGAACTGAGCAGGCCACACACCTTGATTCTTGTAAACTCAGCTTTGGAAAGCAATAAATTATTTTCATGTGGTTTGAGTTACCTTTTAACTGGCATCACTGAACAAATATCCCAGAACAAACCAGGCAGGGGCCGCAGCTGCCTTTATTTGGACCAGAAACACGCGCATCAAACAGCAGTCCCAGCCGGCAGAGAGGTGGGCTCAGCAGCTCAGTGGGCCAGGGCAGAGGGGTCTGCGGGCACCCGGGGCCCACTGCCTCCAGGCCAAGCGAGCAGGACGCTGAGCAGTGCAGGACACGTCCTTGGCTGGACTGGACCCGGGTCCAGGGAGCCATCTCAGGTGGTGGTCTGCTGATGGGGGAGGTAAGGACCAGCACCTCAGCGTGACCCGCTTCTGACGGAGCTGCACTGGGGTGAGCCTGCGGGGGAACACAGTTAAACCAATTCTGGTGGATTTTCTTCCTTCCCCCTAGGGTTGGGGAAGCAAGAAAATGAGAGTTTTTACTGAATTGCAAAGGCCTGATTTCAAAGTTGAAGATGCCAGAGACATCCCGTCTCCACTTGGCAGGTGGCGACAAGCTAAAGACCAAGCTCCAGAGTACAGTGATGAGACCCTGCCGTGGGCAGCCCGCGGGGGTTCTGAGACACGTGAGGTGGTCTTGGCACTACTGGCCAGAATCCAGCTCACACCCTGTGCCCATCCTAGCACCCACCACCCCCTCAGTGTTGTACACTGCCACTGCTTGGCACGCTTCAAAAGCAACTGCAGACACGGGTTCTGGGAGTTCTTGTATTGAGTCTAAAAGGCAGCTGCCCCATGGCCGTGTCCCCTGGGCCGGGAGGGGTCCCCTCATCTCTTCTTTCTCTTCTCCTCAGACTTGTAGTAGGGATTCCGCAACATGAAGAGGAGCAGGACGAGAGGGATGAGCAAGTAGGGCAGGTAGACAGAAACAAGGATGAGTTTTTCAGAGAAAGTCCCCGGTCCTTGTCCTTTGGGGAAGTCCTCAAACAGCAGTGTGGCGAGGATCGGGATCACGGTGGTCATGGTGTGAGCAGAGTAGATGATGGCTGGAGTGCGAACCCACTTGCAGCTTCCTGTGGAGGTGGGGGACAGAGCGGCTCAGGGCAGTCCGCGCACAGAGCACTGTAGGTGTTCTGCCCAGCACGCAGTGTGACAGCTGCGACCCCTGCTCCCTCCCCGAGTCCTGAGAACCAGGGGTGTTTGTGGGAACACAGAAACCCCATACACTGGCACAATACCATTCAAAATGGAAATAAAATCCAGCAATAAATCAGTGGTTGTGGGGAGGGCACAGCAGCTCTGTGAGAGCTGTAGATGACGACCAGGTGACAGGAAGCCAGGGCCACACTGCCTTTTTTAAAGGATCGGTCCTGTGGGCCTTCACACTCCAGGGACTGCCCACTGTCCTTGGAGACACTTTAAGCAAGAATGGGAATTCCCACCACTTTCACTAACCTTTGAAGAAGGCATATGCTGCGAATGGAAAGAAGGGCAGCTGAAACACAAGCTCACAGAACACGAAGGACTTGAACCACTCGGGGGGATCCTGCAACAGAGGGTCTTTGAACTCCTTGGCGTACCACTGCAGCACGTTTCTGAGCTGAAAAAGAGAACGAGTGTGGTGAAGTGCAGCCACCGGCCTGGGCAGGTGCAGGGCTCCCAGTCTCCAAATGGCTTCTCCCCCAGCGTCCACAATGCAGCCCAAGAGGTCCAAGTGTCGCCTCCTTACCCCTGCCCACCGCTAGAATCTCTCTGCCTTCCCTTTCACAACAGCAAGTGGGCACAGGACCCCAAAGCTTTCTCCACATCCGGGAGGCAGGTGGTAAGAGCCAACCAACCCCCCGGGGAGACAGTGGGGGCTACCTTAACTCTAGTACCAGGAAGAAGTCTGCTCTAACTCCCCCAGGGTTCACTTTTCTCAGGAACCCAGCAGCATGTTAACAGAACACACTGCCCCAGAGCAAGGGCTTCTGGGCCCCTGCCAGGTTCGAGAATAAGTGGTCTCATGGCTGGCTAGGGCCCCAGCCTCCTAACCATTGTGTCTGACACAGATTCAAGTGCCCGTGGACACAGCTGTGGGCAGCAGATGCACAGGCAGCCCAGAGGGGGCACAGTCCTGATAAACGGGCCTTCAAAGCCAAACAAGGCTTAGCATGAATAAAGGCAGCGGGGGTGGGGGGGAGCACTGCAGGCCAGAGCGTGAAGCTTATTGGTGACACGGACATCCCGTAGGGGCACTAGCTCAAGTTCAACTGCTCCGTTTCTGATCCACGTCCCTGGGAAATCAGTGGAGGACAGACCAAGTGCTTGGGTCCCTGCATCCAAGTGGGAGACTAACCTCAGGTTAAAAAAATTAGGATTTTTTTTTTTTGTTTGTTCAATTTGAAAGGCAGTTAGAGAGGGAGCCAGAGATCTTCCATTGTCTGGTTCACTCCCCAAATGGCCCCATGGCCAAAGCGACGCAGATCTAAAGCTGGGAGCTGGGAGTTTCTTTGGGTCTCCATGTGGGTGCAGGTACCCGAGGACTTGGCCCATCTTCACTGCTTTCCCAGGCCATAGCAGGGAGCTGGATTGGAAGTGGAGCAACTGGTCTTGAGTCAGCACCCTTAAGGGATGCCAACACTGTAGGCAGAGGCTTAACATGCTAAGTCCTGGCTCTGGTTTGGCCCTGCCCTGGTCGGTCTGGCCATCTGGGCTGTGAAGTAACTGCCTTAAAAAAGAAAAAAAAAAAGGAAAACACAACTCCAAGGTAAGAATATCTCATAATGGAAAAATCCAAGGATATTGTTCCTGTTAATTTTTAACCAAAAGATAAGCCCTTGATATTATGAAATAGAGGCCCCATTCTGCAAGTAAGTTGGAAGCAAACAGCCAGAAACAAACATTGTCTTAGCAGAATATCGACAGCAGAGAGCCTCTGGCTGGACAGTCAGTTTGCTGACCATGTGATCTCTGATTTGCACTTGAGCTGAAGTCTGAGTTTCTGGCACTGCAGGATGGTGAGGTGGAAGGAAACACGGAAGGGACGTCACTGCCCCTCCAGGGCCGGACCTCATCTGTAAAATGAACACCTGGGGTTAAATGTTTGATCCAGATGGCTCAGTGACTAAATCCTCACCTTGCAAGTGCCAGGATCCCATAAGGGTTTCATATCCTAGCTGCTCCACTTCCCATCCAGCTCCCTGCCTGTGGCCTGGGAAAGCAGTCGAGGACGGCCCAAAGCCTTGGGGACCCTGCACCCACATGGGGTGAGTGGGGGACCCAGAAGCTCCCGGTTTCAGACTGTTGCAGCCATTTGGGGATTGAACCAAAATTTTGCCTGTAAAATTCTGCCTTTTCAATAAAAATAAATTCTGCATCTCATATGGGTGCCAGTTGAAGATTCAGCTGTTGCACTAATGATCCAGCTCTCTGCCGATGGCCTGGGAGAGCAGTGGAAGGTGTGACCCAAGTGCTTGGGCCGCTGTACGCATGTGCACACTCCAGAGGAAGCTCCTGGCTCCAGGCTTCAGTGTATTGGGGCCATTTGGGCACAAACCAGCAGGTGGAAGGTCTGTGTCTACTCTTGCTTTCACAGAAACATCCAACTCCCTGCAACACCAACATCCAATATTTCAGCATCAGTTTAAGTCCCACTGGCTCCAGTTCTGATCCAGCTCCTTGCTTGTGCACCTCAGAAATCAGCAGAAGATGGTTCAAGTGCCTGGGTCCCTGCCAGCCCAGGGGAGACCTGGGTTACAGAGCTCCAGGCTCCTGGCTTCAGCTGCTGGGAGGGAAATACCCGGGGAAGACTCCCTGCAGCACCGGCAGCCTTTGAGTCTCACTTCGTATGCCACTGGTACGCAGCCCTGCACACTGCGGCAGGCTGCGAAGACTCTGCTGTCTGGGGGATGCAGGGTGAGCGTAGCCACACTGAAGTAAATATCCTCATCAGCCCGCTCTCCTAATGACTCAGCCACAGGAACCAGGCCTGGACCCAGGGTGGGTGGAAAAGGCCTGCACTGTCGCCGTGCCCACCTGCCCGTCTGGAAGCAGGGCTGACCAGTGTCCCCACTGCACAAAGAGAGCCGGCGTCCCTCAAATCCGCCATGCGCAAATGCCTTCATGTGACTGATGACACATGTGGAGCTGCTCACTACTTATTAGCCTACACTTCCTTCTGCCCAAGGAGATAATTGCCTGCATTTCTACCTCACAGATGACACACTCACTGCCATCCACGAGTGGCCATGCACACAGCTACCGAGAAGCAGGGGCTGCTGCTGAAGAACCTGCACTTCTCTAATGCACGCTGATGGTCCAGCCTGACGCTCACCGTTTTGCAGAAAACGTCACTTAACCACAAACCATCCTACAAAATGCTTCCCACCCTCCTGTGCAAACTGAAGTCTGTAGCCTAGGAAAGTTTTCCAGCTGTTGTTGATTTGTAATTTTCAGCCCAACTACTAAGTGTCTTCCCATAGGCATTTAAGTTCAAAGGGAAAATTCATTCATTCATTTTTTTTTAAATTGGTAAAGTGGATATACAGAGAGGAGGAGTGACAGAGGAAGATCTTCTGTCCGATGGTTTACTCCCCAAGTGGCCACAATGGCTGGAGCTGAGCCAATCCAAAGCCAGGAGCCAGGAGCTCTTCAGGGTCTCCCACGTGTGTGCAGGGTCCCAAGGCTTTGGGCCATCCCTGACTGCTTTCCCAGGCCACAAGCAGGGAGGTGGATGGGAAGCAGGGGTCACCGGATTAGAACTGGCACCCATATGGGATCCCGGCATGTGTAAGATGAGGACTTTAATCACTACGCTATCACGCCTGGCCCGAAAATTCACTCTTTTAGGGAGGAAAATGAATGGGTATTAAAATCTGGCATGTCTTCTGTGGCCAAGGTGGTGGTGTGGCAAGCTAAGTCTCCACCTAGTAGCACTGGCGTCCCATGCCAGCTTATGTCCTAGCTGTTCCATTTCGGACCCAGCTTCCCTGCTTATGGCTTGGGAAGGCAGTGGGAGATGGCCCAAGTCCTTGGCACCCACACCTGCGTGGGAGACCTGAAGAAGCTCCTGGTTCCCTGATCTGCTCAGCCATTTGGGGAGTTAACCAGCGAAGGAAGCTCTCTCTCACACTCTCCTCTGTGTAAACTTGGCCTTTCCAATAAGAAGAAAATCTTAAAAATTAAACTGGCATTTTCCTAAGAGAATCTGACAGTTTTACCTTCCTCACAAAAAAACAACAAAATCAGCATTCCTAACCTAGGGCACACGCCTCCCCAGCCAGGCTGCTCTTGGCTATTTAATGCCACCCGCCTTTTGGCCAGAGCCTGCCTGCATTGGGCCAAAGCTGAACCGCAAGTGCTGTGACTTGCAGCTGGGCTTCAGGTGAGCCCACCTGGGGAGTGAATCAGTGGATGGAAGAGCGTTGTCAACTTGCCTTTCAGATAAATGAGTAAATCTTAAAATTTTCATCAAGGAGACAAGTGGGGTCACCATGACACTGGGTACGTTTTATGGCATCATGGGAGTTAGGACGTGGAGCGGGCTCACCCAGGAGGGAGAAACCAGCAGACATGCTCATGAACTTTCTGCACTGACTTCAAAATTTTTGCACCAAAATAAAGCTATCTTTTAATTCTATTTCCCATAAACTTAGATGGCAGTTACAGAAAGAACTCTTCTGCCCAGTGGTTCCCTCCCCACATGGCTGCGAAGGCTGGAGCTGGACTAGTCTGAAGCCAGGAGTTCTTTCCAGGTCTCCCACGTGGGCGCCATCTTCCACTGCCTTCTCAGGCCATTAGTAGGGAAGTGGAGCAGCGGGGACATGAACTGACTCCCACAGGCAGAGGCTTAACGTGCGGCACCACAGCCTCGACCCTCCTAAATCCCTCCATCCTACCTGGTCCATGTAGTAGGCTGAACTGCTCTCCAAGATGGCCACATCATAATCTCTGGCACCTGTGACTCTTCTTATGTCAAAAAGGGACCCTACAGATCCGTGTAAAGATCTTGCAATGGGGATGTTTCCCTGGGTTATCTGGTGTGCCCTTCACATGTTACAAGTGTCCCTGGAAAAGGGAGACTTAACTGACCAAGTGGCAACATGATGACCACACAGACTGTGGTGACGCAGCCCCCGCCAGGGGAGGCCGGCAGCCCCGTGCAGAGCCACAGGCCGGGCCTGGACAGGGAGCTCTCCGACTGCACACTAAATCCCGCGGGCCGCAGTTAAAAGTGCCACTTGGGACACCTGCGTCACTCCTAGGTGTCGCCTGGTTCACCTCGCAGCTCCTTCTGATTCAGCCCTCTACAAATCTCACACACCCGGCACTGGCTCAAGTCCTTGGGTCCTTGCCACCCTCACGGGAGACCCAGCCGACGTCCTGGGTTTCCGGCTTGGGCCTGGCCCAGCTAGCCCTGGCTGTTGAGGGCACGTGGGATGCGAATCAAGCGAATCTTTGTCTCTGTCTTACAAATAAAATGAAAATAAAACGTTACAAACAAGCTTGGGAGACCTGGACAGGCTAGTGTTAAATTTTTGCCTTGCTTGCCTGGGATCCCACATGGGCTTAGGTTCATGTGCCTGCTGCTCCACTTCCCATCCAGCTCCCCCTGCTTGTGACCTGGGAGACCCAGAAGAAGCTCCTGGCTCTTGGTTTTAGATCAGCTCAGCTCTGGCCATTGCGGCCACTTGGGGAGTGAACTAGCGGAGAGATCTTTCTCTGTCTCTTTCTCCTCTCTGTAGACCTGCCTTTCCAATAAAAAATCTTTAAGAGATAAATACAGTTGGGATAAGTCCCTCTGTGTGTGATTGTTTCTTATGGTAGCAATAGGAAACAAATAGAACCTGTGTCTGGACATATAACAACACAATTCTCTTATTAAAAAAGAATTATTGGAAAGGCAGATTTATGGAAAGAAAGAGGCAGAGAGAGGGGTCTTCCATCCGCTGGTTCACTCACTCTCCAAGTGGCCACAACATCTGGAGCTGAGCTTGAAGCCAGGAGCCGGGAGCTTCTGACTCTCCCATGCAGACGCAGGGTCTCAAGAACTTGAGCCATTATCTGCTGCTCTCCCAGGTACATCAGCAGGGAGCAGGATGGGAAGTGGAGCAGCCAGGACATGAACCTAAGCCCATATGGGATGTTGGGGCTTGCAGGTGTTAGATTAGCCTGGTAAGACGCGGCGTTGTGCCTCCCCCATCCCCAGCTCTCTGGAGGTGAGGATCAGAGCCCTGCCTTGCCCCGAATCTCAGCCAGCCTTGGTAGAGCAGAACCAAGAAACCCAGACTACAGCGCGGCGCATTTGCCACACACTACCTATGCCTCCCCCAGGGAGAATCCGGGCCAGGTCCTGGCGGTTACATTCGCTTCTAGAAGTTACTCAAGTGGAGGAGATCTGCACGAGTGGGCGTTGCACCGTGGCCACACACCACTGGGAGACAGTCCTGCTCTGAAGGGGAGAACTGTGGCCTGAAGAACTCCAGGCGGGCAGGTCCGTCCCCCTCGGTTCCACAGACAGGCGGGCAGAGGGCAGAGGGCAGGAATGCCAGGGAAGAAGGGAAGGCCGAAGTCTCCACCTCAACACCCTGGGGTCAGGAGGCGAGGCGTCCCGCTTCCACGAGCCCCGTGCCAGCTGTGGGTCCCGCCTGCAGCCGCCCTCCACGGGATCTAGTCCTCGGCGGGTTTCGGGACGTCGTGAGTTCAGACCCTCGGCCAGTCCCGGCCGCTGGCCGCAGCCCCCGAAGGGAACCGCGGGGACCCCGCACGGACCCAGGGCAGGACGGCACCTCCCGAGGGGAACGACGCGTCTGTCCCCCGCTAGCCGGGAGCGCGAGGAAGACGGCGAGTGGGAGTCAGAGAACGCGGGGCCCCGCAGAACCGGCACAAAGGCGGGCGCAACTTCGGGAGGCGTCGCGGGGCGCCGGGGGCCTCGCCAGCTTTGCCACCCATCCCGGCGCCGCTCACCTCCACCGCGAAGAGTTCGCGCGGCAGCACCATCTGCAGGTCCAGGAACAGGGTGATGGGGATGTGGGCGACGAAGTAGAGGCCCAGCAGGCACTCGAGGAAGCGTCTGACGGCCGGGGACCTCATGGTCGGGCGGTTGGGCGCGCTCCGGGCCACTCGGCGCTCCGCGACGCGCGCCGACACCGGCAGGAGGCCGCAGTCCGCGCGCCTCGCCGAAACGCGCCGCCTCAGCTGCCGCTCCGCCCCTCGGAGGGTCGCGCAGGCGCCTCCCATTGGCTGCCAGGGAAGCGGATGAGGCGCGCTGCGGGGCGGGACCCACCTCAGGACTTGTCCATTGGCTCGCGTGCGCCTGGAGTGGGCACCCTGCGACTGGTTGCCATTGGTCACCGCAAATGCCGCGTGACAGGGGCGGAGCCCTGAACCGGCCACGTCGCTCGGAGCGTGGCCAGCCGCGGCCGGGGAGCCGGGGGTGGGCGAGGGGAGCTGGGGGTGGCTGAGGGAGCCGGGTGGCTGAGGGTGGGCGAGGGTGGGCGAGGGTGGCCGAGGGAGCCGTGGGGACTCGGGGGGCGGGTGCCGAGAGTGGCCGTGGGCTGAGGAGGGCTATGGGGAGCCAGGGGTGCCGTGGGTGGCCGGGGGCGCCGAGGAGCCGAGGGTGGACGCCAGGCCACGGCCCGGGTCTCGCAGTCCGCTGGGTGCTGGCCAGAGGGGGGCCTCGGTTCACTGGGGGCAGGGCAAGACGGTAACAGTGCGGGACGCGTGGCCCGGACGCTCCGTGTGGGATAGTGGGCGGAAGCAGATGGGACCAGCTGGACGGCCATAGCAGAACTAAGATAGTGAGGGAGGATCCACGATTCATTTATTCATTCAACAAATTAGGATCTTTATGGGTCTGGTCTGGGACAGGAGAAATGGGGCCGCCATTGGCCTCTTAGGACAGGAAGCGAGTTCGCAGCGGGTCATGGGAGTGGCGGCGGTTACTTGGATGAAGCTATCTGGCTTGAGACGTGGGTTGGACGCACACAGAGTCTGATGGGAGATGAAGTTTTGAGAGAGGAGGGCCTGGAAGGAGGGGGTCGAGGTGGGGGGGGCGTCATAGGAAGGAGGGTCACCCGTGTCAAGGGCCACAAGGTGAGAGTCATGCCGCGGGGGCTGGCAGTGTAGACCTCTGACCATGAAGAGCAGTAGCAGCGGGGCAGGGGCTGGAGGGAGACGCTCCATGGATGTGTTTATCTTTCAGATGGGAGATGGGAGAATTACATCTAAGGAGTGAGGGTTAGAATTAGGGAGGTGGTTTCTTCCCTGCCCTCCCCCGACCCCAAGGATTTGGGCACTGTGAGTCTAGGGCAATGTGGATGGGTAGCTGGTCCCTGGAGGCCATGTGCTCCTGGGTGGTGTCTGCTCTGGAAAAAGCAGCTGACCTCACCTAAAGTTTGGATCCAGAAGACAAAGGCGATTTTGAAGGGTTGAAATGGTGGGGAGAGATGTGAGGCCAGAGTGGTTGGTGACTGGAAGGGAGAAAGTGTGTGTGTGTGTGTCTGTGTTAGGACAAGAGGTGCAGGGTCTGAATTCCTGGTGTCTGCCCAAGGGAGAGTGTGGCAGAAATGCTGTAGAGGAGAAAGCCTGGCAAGATAAGGGCAAGGGACAGAAAGCCCCAAAGCCACCTAGGATGGTGGTGGCTGGCAATCAGGTGGAGAGAAGGCTGACTCGAAGGGGAGTGTTCAGGGTTGGGTGTTGTGGCACTGCAGGTTACACTGCCACTTGGGATACCCGTATCTGATTTCAGAGTGCCTAGGATGGACTCCCACCTCTGTCTCCTATCCATAGCCGCGTTAATGTGCACCCTTAGCTCAAGTACCTGCGTCTCTGCCACTCCGATGGGACATCCAGATGTTTTCGGATCCTGGTTTGGATCCAACCCAGCCTTAGCAGTTGTGTTTGGGAGAGTGAAACAGTGGATATGAATTTTCTCTCTGCTACTCTGCAGGAAAGCATTTTTGTGAAAGGGGAATGGACAGTAGGAAGGTGAGATGGGATGTGATTTAAACCGGGGGGCGGGGGGTGCGTAGACATGGCCTTGGGGGCAGGGAGACTGGTGTGGGATGCCTGGGGAAGCTGAGCTAGGGGAGAGACTGGTTTGTGGACAAAGTAAAGCTTTAAAGGAAAGTTGCCAGGCCAGTTGTGGCAGTTAAGTGTCCCCGTGACACCAGCATGCCTTGTAGGCACTAGTTGGTGTCCCAGCTGCCCCACTTAGGATCCAGCTCCCTGCTGGTGGCCTGAGAGAAGCAGAAGATGGCTCAAGTGCTTGAGCACCTAGCACTCACATTGGAGACCCAGAAATAACACCTGGTTCTTGGCTCTGGCTTAGCCCAGCCCCCAGTGGCCATCTGGGGAGCAAACCAGTGAATGGGAAAACTGCCTTTCAAACAAACACATAAATTAGTATTATTATAATTTTGAGGGGTTGCTCCTTTCTGGCTTCCAGTTATGAATGAACCAGTGGTTGCAAGATCTTTGTCTTTCTGTAATCTGCCTTTCCAATAAAAATAAAAATATCTACAGATGACAAACTTGGGCTGGGTAAGATTTTTTTTAAAAGATTTGTTTTTTGGGCCTGATGTGGTAGCATAGCGGCTAAAGTCCTCGCCTTGCATGCATATGGTCACCGGTTCTAATCCCGGCAGTCCCGCTTCCCATCCAGCTCCCTGCTTGTGGCCTGGGAAAGCAGTTGAGGACGGCCAAAAGCCTTGGGACCCTGCACTCGCATGGGAGACCCAGAACAGCTCCTGGCTCCTGACTTTAGATCGGCTCAGCTCCAGCCATTGCGGTTACTTGGGGAGTGAACCATCGGAGATCTTCTCTGTCTCTCCTCCTCTCTGTATATCCAGCTTTCCACTAAAAAATCTTTTAAAAAGATTTATTTTTTATTGGAAAGGCAGATCTTGGAGAAGGAGAGACAAAGATTTTCCAGGGTCTGGTGTGATGGCTCAGTGACTGAATTCTTGCATTGAGTGCGCCAAGATCCCACATGGGCATGGTTTGCCATCCAGCTGAGTGCAGTTTCTGCTCCTCTATATAACATTCCCTTGAACACCCCAGAGAGCTTGGGGAGTTGGGGGAAGCACATACTTCCTGAGGAGATTTCCCAGACTCCTGGAGGCCCCAGTCTCAAAGCTGACCTGCCCACTGAAGTCTCCAGACCCGCCAGACTAGGCAGAAGCCTGGGCAGCAAGAAGTTTAGAGCTGTATTCAGGGCAGGGCCTGTCAACCAAGCCCTCCCCCTAAATCTAGGATGGTTTAAGGGCAGAGTAAGTACCCTTTGAAGTACGTGGATGATTGATTCCACTTGCTGCAGAGAGGGTGTGTGGTTCCTTAGCTGGCTTAAGTGAAGTTGCCCACCTTATTGATTCACAAAAGCCATTTCCAGGCCTGGTGCCATGGCTCAATTGACTAATCCTCCATTTACAAGTGCCAGCATCCCATTTGGGCGCCAGTTCACATCCCAGCTGCCCCAGTTCCCATCCAGTTCTGTGTGGCCGGGAAAGGCAGTAAAAGATGGTTTAAGGCCTTGGGATCCTGCACCTGCATAGGAGACCCAGAGGGGGCTCCTACCTCCTGATCAGCTCAGCTCCAGCCATAGCAGCACATGGAAGGTCATTCTTTTTTTGTTTTTAAAGATTGTATATTTATCTTTTCAAGTTTTTTCTTTTAATTGTAAAGACAGATTTATAGAGATCTTCCATCTGCTGGTTCACTCCCCAAATGGCCTCAACAGCTGGAGCTGAGCTGATCTGAAAGCAGGAGTCAGGAGCTTCTTCCGGGTCTCCCATGCAGGTGCAGGGTCCCAAGGCTTTGGGCCGTCCTCAACTGCTTTCCCAGGCCACAAGCAGGGAGCTGGATGGGAAGTGGATGGAGCAGCTGGAACAAGAACCAATGCCCGGGCCCGGCGCGGTGGCGCAAGTGGTTAAAGGTCCTCGCCTTGCACGCCCGGGATCCCATATGGGCGCCGGTTCTAATCCCGGCAGCCCCGCTTCCCTTCCAGCTCCCTGCTTGTGGCCTGGGAAGGCAGTCGAGGACGGCCCAAAGCTTTGGGAACCTGCACCCGCGTGGGAGACCCGGAAGAGGCTCCTGGCTTCGGATCGGCACAGCATCGGCCCGTTGCGCTCACTTGGGGAGTGAATCATCGGACGGAAGATCTTCCTCTCTGTCTCTCCTCTCTGTATATCCGCCTTTCCAATGAAAAAATAATAAAAATAAATCTTTAAAAAAAAAAAAAAAGAACCAATGCCCATATGAGATCCTGGGAGGTTGCAAGGTGAGGACTTAGCCCTAGGCTATTGCTCTGGGCCCCATAGGTAAATTTTTTTTTTTCCTGCTTTTAAAGACTTATTTTTATTAGAAAGGCAGATTTACAGAGTGAAGGAGAGACAGGTCTCCCATTCGCTGATTCATTCCTTAAGCAGCCACAATGACTGGAACTGAGCTGATCTGAAGGCGGGAGCCAGGAGCTTCTTCTGGGGTCTCCCACATAGGTGTGGGGTTCCTAGGCTTTGAGCCATGTTCCACTGTTTTTCCAAGCCACAGGCAGGGAGCAGGACGGGAAGTGGAGCAGCTGGGACACAAAGCAGTGCCCCCATATGGGATCCTGGAGCATGCAAAGAGAGGCCTTTAGCTACTAGGCTACTGTACCAGGCCCTCATAGTTAAATGTTCAAGACCAGCCACTTTTCACTGGCCCCTCCATCTAGGAAAAAAAAAAAAATCCACCTGGATGGGAAATGGAGCAGCCAAGATACAAACCAGTGCCCATATGGGATCCTGGCATGCACAAGGTAAGCTAAGCTCATTTTTTTTCTTTTTCTTTTTTTTTTTTTTTTTAAGATTTCTTTATTTTTATTGGAAAGGCAGAACTACAGAGAGGAGGAGAGACAGAGAGGAAGATCTTCCATCCGATGGTTCATTCCCAACTGGCCGCAACGGCTGGATCTGAGCCAGTCCAAAGCCAGGAGCCAGGAGCTTCCAGGTCTCCCACGTGGGTGCAGGGCCCAAAAGCTTTTGGGCATCCTCTACTGCTTTTCCAGGCCACAAGCAGGGAGCTGGATGGAAAGCAGGGCTGCCAAGATTAGAACTGGCACCCATATGGGATCCTGGTGCGTTCAAGGCGAGGACTTTAGCTGCTAGGTTCTTGCGCAGGGTC